TGTCCAGGCCGGATTTGGGCACAATGCCGTGTCCCCCGTGTTTCCACCCCCCACCCCCACCCCCACAGTAGCAGGCAGTAGTTACAGCCTGGGCGTGCTCTTTACGGATGCCTGCTTTTTCTTGAAAGGTTAATGAGTTCTTGAGAAAGAGAGCTGCTCCTCGTTTATCAAATGTTCCACGGACTTGTTAGAAATTAGGATTGGGAGGGAAAAACAATGGGACGAAATGGTGGCAGAGGATATCATGATACGCATCTTCTGAGTCTCCAGCAATACCCTCCTTCCGATTTACATGCCAATGGAAGGACCGACGGAGGCATTGTGTGTGTGTCTGTACAGTACAGTTAATCTTGTTAAATTGTGATTGCCACTTAATCTGCTCCTTTGTGCTGGGTAGAGAAAATGAGATAGGGGAGCTTTGCTGTGGGGGCCGTGAAAGCAGGAGGCGGCCCAGTGTGTGAGCCAGGCCTTAGCCACGCTGCCTTTGTGAGCCTGGAATTGCTGGCCAGGGTTTGTGCAGCCTCAGCGAGACGGTTGGATTTGAAGCAAGAGAGGCTTCGGCTAAGACATACGCCCTGGTGCAAAGGCTGAGCCAAAGCAGGCTGGCTAGCATCCTCCCTGTTGGCATTCAGCACCTTGGGAAATATTTGGGAAGACCAGGCCGTTCCTTTCTAATTCACCTGGTTTAATAGGACCTGGTTTCAAGGAGTCGCATTAAAAAAGTTGTTTACTTTTCATGCTGGATTGCAAAGCCCATCCTCTCTTGGCCATTGCTTGCATTGGGGGATGATCTCTTAGCTTTTCAGCCTAGGAATCCAAGAATATTTTGTTGACATTGAGAGCCGAAAGTTTGGCAGTTGGTAATTTTTTTGACTTCATTTGACAGGAGAAGAACATTAGGAGGAGAAGGAGCATTTCTTCTTCTACTTCTTCTTCCTCCTCTTCCTCTTCTTCTTTTCCTTCTCCTTCTCCTTCTTCTTCTTCTGGCATTTTGTGCTGGAAACAGGTGGGATGTTTGTAAGCATGGAAGGACACGAATGACTGGGAGCCCTCCATCCCAAAGCATTGTTCGGAGAGCAAAGGGGGCATTTTGCCATCTCCTTAACCAACACAGGAAAGTGGAGATGGACATGAAAGGCATAATTTCAGATCTTAAAACTCTCAGAGGAAAGAATGGCAGCCTGGGCTTGTAAGGGGTGTGTGTGTGTGTGTGCGTGTGCGCAGAAGTTTGTTTTTGTTTTTAAAAAACAAAATGTATGCAGGTTGGCAAAGCTCATTTCTACACTCTCATTTCTGCCGCAGGTGTAAACCAGGTTTCAAACTGGAGGATTTAATTCCTTGCCAGGAGAACTCTCCGATTCTACCTCTAAATCTCCCTGTAACAATTCACTTCTTGGCAACCCCTTTTTTGCAAGTTAGTTTTTGCATATTAATTCTTATCCCTTTCCTTCCGTCCAGCTGAATCAGCGCGATTAGAAAGTATATTTTAAGTTTAGCTTCCTTGCTGCAGAAAAGTTTCCTTGGCTGACTTTTGTACACAACATCTTTCTTAGTCGTTCAGGCTGGGGAAATTCCACTGTTCCCTCTTCTAGTTCATAAATTCATTGCCGTGGAAGGCTGTTTTGATTAACATTACAGTCCAGATTTCTTTACGGTACATCCAAAATAATTGCTAACCTTCCAGAAGTTTTGTTATCGTATTTATTCAGTCGCTTATAGCTGTTCCCCAAACCTCCAAAGGAAACAATTTTTTTTTTCCCAGAAAGAAGAACCCATTAGTTCTTTCATATCATTCTGATTCCCTCTAAGACTGTTTGCGGGCCTGGCTAAAATAAAAGGATTGAGTCACCTTTGTGCCTCTCCTTCTGTAATCTGAGGGAGCTATTTTAAAAATGCAGTACATTTCTTGGCACGGATTTCTTTCCCAGATTGAAAACAAATTGTCAGCTCAGATGGATTGTTATTTTTAAGTCCAGGAGCTGTTTATGTTAATTAAAGCAGTTGATTTTTCTAAATTATGTGACAACACAAACACACATTGGCCCTTAACGATTTCCGCAACCTGTCCCTTCAATGAAATAGGGCTCCTTTGCAAGGCCTTTTCTTCTCTTTCCTTTTGCCTTTTTCTAGTGGGCTCTTGATATTTTAGGGGCTCCTCGGGAGCTGAGGAATTAACACTCCCAACTCTGCCGCACGAGGACGGGGGTTTCCCTAAAATATGCCCCTTGCATGTGCTTCCTCTATTATAAAAGGCGCATTATCATTCTCAAGTGATCATTAATAAGACACTTTCTCCAAAAGCTGAAATCACTATTTATCACAGGCTCAGGGTTGTTGTTTTGTCTGTCTGTCTCTCTCTCTCTCTCTCTCTCTCTCTCTCTCTCTCTCTCTCTCTCTCTCTCTCTCTCTCTCTCTCTCTCTCTCTCCCCCCCCTCTCTCTCTGTGTGTGTGTGTATGCATCCATCCCAAAATTCAAGAAGGCAGCTAAAGGCATGCATTAGCATTCAGACATGGGGCCCCTTAACATCTCCAATTCAGAACAGAGTCAGCGTCCCTGGCTAGAACCTTCTGCAGCCACCATAAAAGCAGGGAGGGAGGCCGCATTGATTCTCTGGGCCGTTCTCTGCCCTGGGGCCGCCGTGGGCAGCGGCTGTGCCCTTGTGATGCTTGTAGCAAACCTCGGGGGCAGCAGCGCCACCGTCCCCAGGTGACCTTCAGAGAGAATTGCAGAATGGGATTAAGAGATTTGTCCTGGAAACATCGGGGCCTGTGTGTTGGTCAGAGGAGAGGGGGCAACCGGAGACTTGCAGAAAGTGTGGCGTTATCTCACGCTGAAGTCTCCACTGAAGCCCAACCTTGGCCCAGAGCGGGATTGAAGGGCCATCCCCTCGGCTATGCAAGAGGAGTCGGCCTCTAGCCAAACGTGGTGATCCCCAAGAGGTGAACCAGAGTTTACGGCAAATGCCCAGTTGGTATTTGTGGGAAGAACACTCGGAGCTATCGGCTAAAATGGGAAGGCTAAAATTCCCCCCCTCCCCCCACCCCGAGAACGTGGCCAGCCCTGTTGCCAAGATGACCCCATAGGCAGACCCCTGAAGACCCCAGCAGTTGAGCCCTTTTCTGCCTGGGCAGCCCTGGCTGAATGGTATTAAATTAACCTGTAGAGCTGTGATCGGATGGGTGATGGGAGGTGAGGCAGCCTTATTTTAATGGATGGCTCACGATGCACTAAAGGGAGGAACAGATTGCATGTTTTTGAAGCTGACCGGAAAGGAGCACTTGGAATTACTTGTTTTATTGTACCATAATATCAGCCTGATAGCAGAAATGTCTGTTATCAAACAAGAGTCAGATGGAAGCCAGGCTATCTGAGGGCCCTTCCCAAAGGCAGGAGCGTTTAGCTTGTTGCATCGTTCAGGCAAACAGAACAGAACAGAACAGAACAGAACAGAAGATACGTTCAGGCAAATCTTAATTTCACTATAAATAGGGCTCACGTTTAATTCCCAGTAGTTATGGGAATTCTTCCCTGATGGCTTTCAGACTTCTTGCTTTCATGACCTATAAAATATTCCTTCCTCTACTTTTTCCCAGTCCTTATGTAGGACCCTAACCATGACATCACCTACTCTCTATTAATAAAAAACAAGAATTTGATTAAAGGAAGACAAGTAAAACACAACACACACATGCTTTTCTTAGAGTTAGGACTTATTAACACCTTTCAGTCAACAGATGGAATAGCATTTTTTTTTTTATTTTAGCATGCTGATTCAAGGAAGGGGCCTGTCCTCTGGAAACTAAAATCCCACCCTCCTCCTTCAGTCTGTAGTGCATCCTGCCCTCTCCCCTCTAGCCACATGGAACAGCCAAGCTGATTGAATGTTCTGCGGAGTTGCCAATTAAAACAACGCATGTTCCCAGTAAAATCTTGGCTAAGGAACTGGATTGCTTGAGAAGTTGATAGCGTATTTTCACACACATCTAACACACACACACACACACACACACACCAAGAGGGTTTATTCTGAATTTGGCTGGGAAGCCTTATTACCTGTGTGCAGGGCTGAGGTGTCCATAAGCTCAACCTTGACCAATTGAAGATGGGTGGACCACTTCCCAGAATTCGCTGGTCAGTATGGCTGACGTGAGGAATTCTGGGAATTGAAGTTCATGACAGGCATGCTGCTAGTATTATCATGGTTGGTTGTCCAGTCAGCCAGATGTTCAAACTGAATCTGGCATTTTTGTCCACCTATCGAGTCCTTCCCAAATACCTGGGATAGGCAGATGTGGATATAAGCTCTTCCAATTAAAGCTGCCTTCTGCAATTGACTGATTTTGTGATTCTGTCAATGCCATTGGTGCTCCAGATGTTTTGGGATTGCACGTTGCCTATTCCTGTTGGTACTATCTTTGCTTTCTTTTGCCATAGACGTTCTCCTGTTTGCAGATCTTTGTATTTTGTGATTTTCTCCAGTTCTTTCTCTTCTCTTCTGCTGTCTTCAGGAAGGTCTTTCTTATCAACAATTGTTAAGTCTGGGATAATTGTGTTTCAGATGATTGTCTATTATGATTTCAGTTGAATAATGGAACCTATCTCAGGGGCCAGTGAGGATATAATCACAGGGTTTGTAAACCTGGAAAGCTAGTTTTATTTTTACAGAATAGCACACTCAAATTGTACGTTACTACTTAAAGTTTTAGTTTATTTTTATTACTACTATACGTACTTTTTTTTATTACATCCTCACTGTTGGGAGTATTTTTAATTTTTGTTTGTTAAATACACTGTTTCTTTTTTAAAAATAAATTTAAAAACAGTTGCCTCTTGTCATGTATTTTCCGTGCTGATATCGTGCATAAAAATAAAAAGTGAACGTGGGAGATACTACGTTCTCCCTCCAGGCGCTGAATAATCCATTTTATCCTGGTCTCCCAGGGATTCTGCTTCTGAAGATCTGCTTTTCCTTTTTTTCCTCCCCCCACAAACCACTTAGGGTCGGTGCACTCGAGAAAACTGCAAATACCTTCACCCTCCACCACACTTAAAAACACAACTTGAAATCAACGGGCGCAACAACTTGATCCAGCAAAAGACAGCCGCTGCCATGTTTGCACAGCAAATGCAGTTCATGGTGCCTGGAGCTCAGCTGCAGCCGATCGTAAGTGACAGGAGTCATTCTCTGGACAAGAGCCGGCTGGGGGGGGCTTCTTGGGTTAGAAAGGTTAGAGTTAAGATAGGGCCGCGTTTCCAACAAGGTGAAGATGAAGCAAGGTGATACTGCTGGACCGCACAGGTCGCATCTATCAGGGAGTTCTCAACACCAGCTTGAAAAATTGTGTCGGTGACTTCAAGGTGGGAAAAAGCACTGGAGCGGGTGGAACGTCAGCAGATTCCCTGACCTTCCCCAAAAGCCCAACATCAGCATTCAAAATTGGCACTTTAGCGATGAGATCTAAGGTTATTGTGCTCCTCCTGCTCTTCCAGGTTATTTCATGACAACGGCCCATGCGTTACAAGCTCCACATAGACCACAAAAGCTTCTGCCCTCCTAAATCAGACGGCCCTTGGAGCACCAGAAGATTTGTGGCAGATTCTGTTCAAGAGACACCAACCTTCTGGCTTCGTAGGCTTAGATGTTAGTTTTCTGGACTACGTCCTGTCCACACGGACAAGAATCCCGTGCGCTTCCAATCTGTGGCATCCATAAGAGCAGGCGGAGGAATCAAATGCCCCCAAAATGTCTTGAGTGTTGGGTGTATCTTTTGCCAGCAGCATGATGCGTCAGTTCTTCTAAAGACCAGGGAAGGAATGGATGGTGGAGGCCCATAGATGAATATTGATAGATGGCCATCTGCTCAGTGATTGGGTGGGGGGTTGGACTAGATGACCTACAAGGTCCCATACAACTCTATTCATCTGATGACAGCCTGTCTTTTGCTTGCTCTTCCCCAACAGACAACGTTTCCTGTGACTCCTTCGCTTGCAACCAGCCCCACCATGGCGTTCAGCCCCTACTTAAGCCACGTTTCTCCAGGGATGGGCTTGATGCCTGCAGAGCTCTTACCAAACACCCCCGTTCTGGTGTCCAGCAACCCTGCGGTTTCGGTACCCGGTGGCTCCGCGGGGCAGAAACTCATGAGGACAGATAAATTAGAGGTATTTGCATTGGCTTGGATTCCATTGCCTTATTTTGTAAGGTATCGATGGGAGAATTTGGGTGCAGATTGCTCTGTTTCCGTCAGCCTTGTGCCAAATGAGAAGCACACCCAGGAGGACTAACTATAATTTTATTGTAAGGTTACATTAATAGAATTGTGCAAACTGAAAGGACATCTCTTCCCCCTTTACCTTACAATTCCAAAAATTTAAGGAGGTTTCCGTTCTGAGATGATTGCCATGCCCCTTTTCTGCCTGCAGGTTCAGCTGCCTCTTATCCAAATATCGCCCCGTCCATCTCCCAAGGCCATTTCCACACACTGTTACAGTTTCTCTTTCTGTCTTGCCAATTGATAATGGCCACCCTTCTTACTCAAACTAACCTGGCAGAGCGATTGTCTCGAGAGCTACGTCCGGGGCAGCGGGATATATCCCTCTTTGAATCCCACCTCCTCTGCCTTTCCAGGTGTGCCGAGAGTTTCAGCGTGGAAATTGCACGCGGGGCGAGAACGACTGCCGCTACGCTCACCCGATCGATATTGCCATGATTGACACCAATGAGAACACGGTCACGGTGTGCATGGATTACATCAAAGGCCGATGCTCCAGGGAGAAATGCAAGTACTTTCACCCCCCTGCGCATTTGCAAGCTAAAATCAAGGCAGCTCAGCACCAGGTGAATCAGACTGCTGCAGCCGCAATGGTAAGAGAGCCGCCTCCAGCGACAACGTGGCTGAATGTTGTGTTGTACCATCAAGTGGGAATGGGTGGGGGGGTTCAGGGGGTTCCCCCTTCCCCTTTTTAACAGAGTCGCCCTCCCACAATCACCAGTTCGGCCCCGAGATGCTCGTTTAGAAGGAAGCCCCACAGATTTCAGAATCCATAAATCCTGTTTATCAGAACCCAAATCCTGTTTTCTGTATCAGAAACCCCTCAAGATGCGTTTGTGTTTCAGACAGGTGGGGCTCCGTCTGCAGAGCAGCCTCCTCTGCCCTCTTTCTTTCTTTCTTTCTTTCTTTCTTTCTTTCTTTCTTTCTTTCTTTCTTTCTTTCTTTCTTTTTCTCGGCATAGAAAGTTTACAAGAAAGAGCCCTTGGGAATTTTCTTTTTACAATCCAACCTAGCCTTTACAAAGCCAATTTATGCTGTTCTACCCATATCTGTATCATTCAGTTCCACAGTACAATGCCAATCGTCCCAAAGGTGCTTTTTCAAGAGGCAGCTGGACTTCCTTTGTTTTTCGTTGAAGACGTCTCACTTGTCATTCAAGAAGCTTCTTCAGTTCTGACTGAACGGTGGGCAATGGAAGGATTTGTATTCCATTCCTCATCATTCAGTAGAGCTGAAAAAGCTTCTGGGATGACAAGCGAGACATCTTCAAAGGAAAACAAAGGAAGTCCAGTTTCCTCTTGAAAAAGCACCTTTGGGACAACCATGACCTGGATGGCTGAGAATCTCCATAGACCTTAAGATGCCCAGCATCAACTCTGGGTTTAGGGTGGGTCTTGTCACTAAAAGAGCACATCTTGATGGTCACGCTTGGAAGAATCGGCTCACATGATCAGGGCTGATTCCTGACAAGCTACCTGTAACACTTGTCTCCCCATCTCCCCGCAGTTCATGCTGAATTCATGCTGTCCCTTCTCAGCATACACTTCATTAGCAGTGTGCCATTTAACCCCCACCCACCCAGCCTTAAAATACTTTACCGATTGCTTGTTTCCAGAGCTGTATCATTCAAACTGTCTTGTAATATTCATTAACTCCCCACCCCCTCCCCAAGTCTCCCTGGCTGGCATGGATGAATGGCAAAGCATGCCGTCCACTGCACCTTTTAAGGTGGCACAGTAACTGGTTGGTTGGTTGATGGGCCGACCGGTTGAATTGATCGATGGGCAAAACGGAGAGACAGAGAAGGAAACATTCACCGAGAGATTTTTCAAAAGGCAGTTCTGGTTTGTTTCAGCCGCTGTAAGCAAGTGGCCTTCTATAAATCAGGGATCTGGAAGTCAAAGCTGAAAAGAACAGGGAGGGAGGCACGTCTCCTTCACACCGACTTGTGTGTGCCCCCCGGGGGTCTTTCAGCCTTGTCTCTACCCAAGTCATGGCATGAAAAAGACAGTTGGTTTCATTCTTTAGATGGAACATTTTCTTGGATCGTCCTTGTGTTGGTCATCTTGAAAAAAGGCAGGGTGTGGTTGGAAAGACATCGAGAATTCCTGGAGGTTGTCTCAAAATTCTTTGAGAATAGATGATTCCTTCTTAAGTTGAGAAGAAATCTTGCAATTTCAAATATACGCTAATCATCCCTTTCTGGACAAGCCCGATGCTACTTATTAATATTTCACACGCCTCCCAATTTCTTGCTTACGCAGAAGTGAGCCTCACTGAAAACAGTGGGACTTGCTTCTGAGTAAGCTTTCTGATCAGCACCAAGAATTTAGTCCTAAAAACCAGAAGCTATTCTCAAAGGGCAGCTGGGCAAATTGGGAGCACAATTTCACATGATCTAAACTTTATTCCTTGGGTGCATTTTAAAAATACAGAGACATTATCTTAGAACAGGTCTGCAACCTGTGGGACCCATTTCCCACAGAACAGAAAACACCGGGAGCCACAAAACCTTTCCTGTGCCTGACTATGTTTTGAGCGGCCACAAAACTAGCATATGTAGTTGAATTAAATGTTCTCTTTTCTTCTGAAACTTTTCTTGGATTTATCCATGATTGGTCTACCGGGGGTTGAAAAGCTCAATAAACCGTGTGCCGACAGGTGTCGCACACTGGTGGTTATGACGCATAGTTTGAGTGACAGGGAGCTGCAGCAGAGGGGTGAAAGAGCCACATGCGGCTCCAGAGCCAGAGGTTGCTGACCCCTGTATTAGAAACCCTGGGGCCTATTTGACAGAATAGTTTTAGAGGCCAGGGATCCCTAGTGTGAATCCTTCAGCGAAAGGGTCTCCTTATTCAGAGCAAATTTGTGATGGAAGCTTCATCAGGACGGAAGCTCCGCCCCTCGTTTTCCACCCACACACCATGATGCCACGGGCACCACGGAAGGGGCGGAGCTTGTGCCGTGGTGCTGCTTTCGTTCCCCTGAGTGAAGTGTCCGATCCTGCTGCATTACTTGTGGAAACGGGGACCAAAAGGCTTCTTTCTGCCCAAGCTTTCCAGGGGAGTTCCCCCCACCCCACCCAGCTATTCTTTGTCCATTTTAACTGTTGCAGACCTCTCTGTGGTGCATGCTTTGTTGTCTGCATTTTTTTTGTTCGTTTGTTTTTCAAAAAAAAAAAAATTACTGTGATAATGCACTCATTTTATTTTTATTTTTTTTCTCTCTCCGCCTTCTCCACAACGTTGTTCTCCTTTTTGACACATCTCTGCTTGCTGTTTTTTTGTGTTGTGCTTCAACCCCCCTTCCTCAATACCGCCATGTACTCGCTGCCTGCTAATTAAGACACAGCCAGCTCTCCGATCACAGAAGCGACCCCTGGAGGCAAACTTTGACCTGGTACTTGGAGCTTTGCATGTAACCATCCTTTAGATTGCATGGAATACCTTTTTATTCATTCTTTCCCCCTTTCCCTCTCTCTCTCTCTCCCTCCCTCCTTTCCTTTTCTGTTTTGGGTGTTGTGTCCAGAGACTGCCCATCACACGAGGAACATGTTTCCAATCGGATGTTTTGGTCCGTATTCTTTTGCAGCCCCCTAAGTTTGGGAAAACAAAAAAGACCACTCTCTGCTGGAATTTGAAAATCCATTTTTGAACTAGTAGCTGTCCCTCCCACCCAAGAAATTAAAAAGTCCAGGTGCAGCTTTGCAGGAATCTCTGATTGCAGCTTTTTTTTCAGTCTGTCTGTTTCCGAACAGTGCAGGAGGCTTTTGGGTGGGATCCTTTGAGGCACTTTAGGGGCATGAAGAAAAGGGGGTCTCCGGGCCCCTCCTTTGGAAAGGCAGCCGCTCTTGGTGGGCAGCTGTTTTTCACAGTTTAATGAGAACCCCATTCTAGTCCGATACAGGGAGTCCTTGACTTATGACTGGCCACATCTACAGTCAGTTTGCAGCATCCTGCCGTCACACGGCCACGTTTTACGATGGTTTTGTCTAAAACCAGCACTTCCATCTGGTTTTCAGCAAAAGTGCATCCATTTGCAGCCCATTGCGTCGCTTAACAACCGCCATAAAATAAGATTATAAAATCTACCATCACGGACAAGGGTCCAGGGCAGTTGTACATTGTGGAAATATTTCCTTGTTTGTAAATATGTGGCTTGTAAATATGTGGGATGTTAACCGTCTCTTTGAGAGCCCAACTCAAATTACTTTCTTCATTTTTTTTTTTCTTAAATTCTTAAACCCACCTGATGGGCTGATGGGAATCTCTGCCCAGGGAGTGGGTCGTGAACTTCGTGTGACGCGCAGCCTCCTTCCCAAAGTTTGTGTACGGATGGGGCGGGGGGGGGGATCCTTTTCCATTTGAGCTTTTGAAGTTCATCCATCCCTTTCTTTCCATTTCCATTCGTCATTTTTCCTTGCCTGTTTTCTCTGGGGAGGGGAGAGGGAGGCTGGCTTCTGTACCCCATGCTTAGCTTTCAAGGTGTCGTTTTTTAAAGAAAGAAGATAGGTTGGGTTGCTTTTTTGTTTACAGAAATAATAGGTCTTTAAAAAAAAAAAAAACAAGACCGAAAGAAGTGGGAGTGGGGGTTTTTTGTAAAAATGTGTGACTTCTGACTGTCACAGGTCCTGAAGCGAGTTTGGGGTGAACCTCCCTAAATTTGGAATGAATTAAGTGGGCAGTTTTCCCAAATAATAAATCCAGGAAATTGCTGGGCGTTTCTGTTCAAGAGAGAGAAACAGCCCTGCACAGGAGAAAAACAGGAATTTCGAAGTGAATGAAATGCAGTGGGTTGAGGGGTAATAACATATGGTGAGAAGTATGGCCGGCTGGGGTTTGCTTATGGCCTCCAATGCATTTCTATTCTTCAGGCACGGGTTTTTTTGGGGTGGGGAGGGGCAATGTGTAAGAGGCTGGCTGAAAACCCCCACGGCAGGTGAGCGCATTCTCCATTTAAGTGTGATGGTGAAACAGGTGTGAGCATTAACGCCTTGTGATGCCACAGGTCTTCCAGACAAGGAGAAGCTGGTTGGAAAGTTGCCCAGCCAGCCCCCCCGCCCGCCCGCCCGCCCAGAGGCAGAAACCCCAAGGAAAGGAGCCTTTGGGCCAAATTCATCCTGTCACCAGATCTACTAAAAAAAATCCCACCTGTGTCTTACGACAAAACATGAAGGGACTCAGCATCTTTTGAGTTCTGTGGCCTGGGAGACCCCCCCAAAATAATAATAATAATAATAATAATAATAATAATAATAATAATAATAATAAGGAGGAGGAGGAGGAGGAGGAGGAGGAGGAGGAGGAGGAGGAGGAGGAAAGAAAAATGAAGGGAATGGCCTTTGTGTAACCCTTGAGGCAAAATTACGATCCCCAAAATCAGAGCAGCAACTAGCTCAGGGATGGGCCACAGCAGCATGGCTGGCTCAGGAATTCTGGGAGTTGAAGTCCCCTGGTTGTAAAGGGGCTGCAGCTGTTCACCCCTGAACTGGTTGATACCCTTTAGTAGTGGATGCAAGTTTGATTTCGCATCCAGACCAACATTTGCTAGAAGTCCCCGGGCTTAAGTGAAGAGTTAGCTTACCCTTTGGGGTGTGTTTTCTCTTTGTGCATCTGTCTTCTCTCAACCACTCAGCCCAGGATAGCTGTTTTTGATTGGCTTTGCTTCTGCTGAACTCCCCTGCCCCCCTCCCCCCCCAACCAGTTCTTAGAACCCCCCCTCCCAAATATAAAAGCTATCTCTGCCAGTCCTCCTATACAAGAAGATCCAGTCTTATCAGTTGTGTGATTCTTCAGGAATTCAAGTGGGGCAGAGAAGCTGCTTCTACTGCTAAGGCTTACACACACACACACATACACACACACCAGATTCTGTTTTATTCCTGTCCCAGATGCATTCACAATTTGGGTGTCGGAGTATGAATGAGGCATGCCTGCAGATTGTGCACGCTACACGTTCTTTGCACAGAAGAGGAGATAAGGCTTGTCTTTGTCTACGCCTTACTGATGTACCCCATAGGGAAAGGGTTGTTTGTGAGTTGCCCAGAGCCACTGAGAGTGAGTGGGCAGCCATATAAATCCTCCCAATAAAATAAATAAAGAGAATTGAACGGCGGCAGAGGCCAGTTGCCCGCAGTGTTAATGCTTACCATGTCCTCCTCTGGCGTCACAGCTGCCCTAGAAGCAGAAGTTGGCCCAGGAAGCGGTATGGCATTGACACCTGTAGCCAGCAGTCTCAGCATTAACACCCCCATCTCCCTTGTTTCTGCTAATCTTCCCCTGCTAATAGCCGTATCTCTGACTTTAGCTGTTAATGTTCCCTGTGTGTGTCTTTCACGCTTGTTGCTTGCGTACCACTGCAATTGTTTCTGGGCAAGTGAAAATCGTTGTCGATTCCTCTCCTTTTTCTTTCTTTTTTTAAAAAAATTCCCTTCTTTTTTTTTCCTTTTGAAAATCGGAACTGTTACTACATTGGTATCCGCTGCAGTCTGTGAATTGCAGTGGCATCCTTGATCGTTGAAATTTTGTGTAAAAACCAAGTGAAAATATCAGCGGGTTTAAAAGTCACTTAACTGTCAAAGCCTAAGAAAGGAGGAGGAGGAGAAGGCAAGCGGCCTTTACTCCTTTCCCTTGACTGAGCCTTCCCTGGCCCAGACGTTCTCCAGATGTGGGGATTTCACCTCCCAGAATCCCCCTGCCTCTGCGGCCTTTCCCAACCCTTTCGGAATGGAAAGACCTCCTTTGGGGAAGACCTTAGCCCTGGCAGTTAAATTTGCTTTAAAAGCAATCTGAGATTGGTGGCAAAGATGATTGCTCGCCCGCTGGTTGATGTTGGCACAGTTTCACTTCTTTCGGCTGTCAAGGGGTGAATTCTGTCCCATGTCCCATTTCTCAGGACGTTGCAAGTGATTTGAAGATGACACCGCCTCTCCTGGTCCAGACATGCTCCGACTAAACCTGGTTTTCCCTTCTTTTTTTTCCCCCCCCCCCCCCCCCTTCCTCTCCCCTCACCTTTCCGTCGGCTGCGGCTCTCCCTTTCTGCAGGCATTGCCACCTGGTGCCCTTCAACCTTTACCAAAGAGGCCAGCACTTGAAAAAAACAACGGTGCCACCACAGTCTTCAGCCCAAGCGTTTTTCACTACCAGCAGGCCCTTGCCAACATGCAGTTGCAACAGCCTGCCTTTATCCCAACAGGTAGGTGCCTTGGCTCAGCCTCTTGGCTCTTCTTTCGATGCGCGGATTGTCTCCTCCGGGGCCACCGTGTGACTCTCCAAAGGGCCCCCTCACTGCCCAGCTTTTGCCCAGAGCAGCTGTGCATGACTTCCCTCCCTGCTGTGAGCCTTCGGTTTGCTGGTGCTGCCTGAGCCAGAGGTGTCCAGTGAAGGTGAGGGCCGAAAGACAGGACTTCCTCTCTCTCTCTCTCTCTCACTGCCTTCCAAGAATCTTAGGGGTCGAGGATCTGAGAGAGTTGAATTAGTTGGGAAGCAGCAAGGATTTCTTTGGGAAGTGGATGGCCAGGAATGTCACCTTTCTTTTGAATATCTTGGTCTTCTACAAATAGTTTCTCTACTGCAGGGGTCCCCAAACTTGGCAGCTTTAAGACTTGTGGATTTCAACTCCCAGAATTCTCCAGCCAGCTATGCTAAGTCCACAAGTCTTAAAGCTGCCAAGTTTGAAGACTTTTGCTCTAATGCAACTCTAGATGCTTTCTTGCATTTCAAAGAGTAACTGATCTCCCCTGCTGTGAATAAACATTACAGGCAGGCCAGTTTCCCGGCCAGTTTTTTGATAGCTGCCCCTCCCTCCCTCCCACCCAAGGAAAGCCTCCCCTGCAGCTGGAAGCCCAAGGTGTGAACTCTGCTCTTCACCAAATATTCAGGTGTTCCACCGGTTTTGTTCAGCCAGCGTACAAAATGCGGCCTGTCAAAACTTTCCAACTTCACAAAGATAAAACATTTGCCAGTGTGCCAACCACGCCCAGCCCCGGCTAGCAGATGGGGCACCCATCATCCCTTCTCTCCCTTTGGGACGTGTCTCCCATGTGCAGCCTTCCTGCAGAACTGGCAAAATGTAAGCTTGCAAAAAACCTGTTCCGAATTAAGCAGGGATTCAGGAACTCGGCCTGAACAGCAAACCTGCCGCATAAAAATCCAAGCATATGTTTCCCCTTTTGGCCACAGCGCTAAAGTTTAAACGTTTCAATTACTGTCGGATCCAAGTTCGGTGTGGGCATGGCTGTGGGCACTGCCGCCTAGAGAACCCCCCCACCTGCCCCCGCCCCGTAAAATAATCATGTTACTCAGAATGTGTGCCTGTTAACACACGAACGGCTTCACTAACTAAATATCCCTTCTGTTCATGTTTTCCACGCTTCACTGCATGACGTGCAGGGTCTGTGCTGTGCATGGCACCCGCAGCAAACGTTGGTAGGTTTTTCTCCACAACCTTTTCCTAACACAAATGAGGCCTTTGGATTAGTCGGGGTTACTGGTGGGGGAGGAGGAGGAGGAGGAGGAGAGCGGGAAGGTTGCGTGTGTGTGTGTATGCGCGCGTGTGCCTAGCAGTGTCCCATGATATGCACATGAGATGTGCTCTTCCACATCTCTATAGTGTGGCAAGTGTGAGGATGAAATCAGTGGAACCGAGCTTAAATGAGCGTTCAAACTGAACCTCTCCCTCGTTGTTTCCCTTCGGCAGTGTTTCCGTGGCCCCCTTCTCCTCTCTTCTACTTGCCTTTGTTCCACTCTTAAAAGCCGGCACAATGTCATCAAATCCATTCCATGTTCCTTGCCCTTGGACCCTTGCCGACATCTCCGGGTAGCCCAGTCTGATGGGCTATGTAGTGCTGTGATGTCACATGTCATCTCCAACGCGATTCCAGATGGACGACAGCCACGCTGTGTCTTAATCCGGAAAAGAGCAGGACATAGAAAGGAAAAACTGGACTAACAAAAGAGATTGTGTGTGTGTGTGTGTGTTAAGAGCAGGGACGTTTTGTATTCCCTTGCCCTTGGGGGTATTTTGATAATTTAGGATTCTGGGACGTATTTCCACTCCTCTCAAAGTTCACTCTTATTTCACTTGCTTACTGGGAAGACACTTGGTGGTGGTGGTGCCCGAGGAGTCAAATCTGTAAAAAGGATGAATTTATAGCACTTCTGCTGGTTCTGTAAGGGAGAGCTTTAGGCAAGCAATCTTTTGGAGAACACAATTCATGAATAACCGCTGTTTCCTTCATGTCGGTCTGTTTGCTTTTAGTGCACACACACACACACACACACATATATTTTTCCTAGGTGTTTTGTTTCCCCTTGACTAACCTTGATGAGGGAGAACAGAAGGCTGTGGAAGTTGACAAACAAGGTCCACAGAGGATGTAAATTTGGGTCATTGGACGGAGCTTTCTTCCTCCAGACCACAAGGGGCACCTTGGTGGATGGAACCGGCAGTGACTTTGCCCTTGCTAAAAAATATAAACTCCTTTGAGACCAGTTCCAGGAGGCTTGGGGAGTTCTCCCTCCCCCCTCTCTGAAAAAGAGAGGGACTCAAGGTTTGGGCCTCATCCAGTTAATCAGGCCTCTCAGGACCTCCCTTTCCTTGGTCTCCTCAAATTGCAGTCCTCCTTACGCCTTAACCTTAAGAAAAACACACCAAAAATAAAGACCAAAGGCCCCTGTTCCATTAAAATCTACAGGCCATTTTTAGTCTTCCCATTGACTACTTGGCTCCCTGTTGTTTTGGTTCTTTTCTAAAGATGTTAGATGTTACAGACATTGGGGTTCCCCCCCCCCCCATATTTTGCTTCTGGGAGAAATTGGGGTGGGCCCAGGGGAAAATACCTGCAATGTGGGAGGCATTCGCACGCACAACCCCATTGTGACAGAACCAGCAGAAGTTGTACCTGGGGCTTATGGGGCAGCTGGAAAGAACCCCAAGGGAGTAACCAGAGGGGGCACGGAGGTGAACAAGGTCCACAAAGGACCCTTACTCACAAATCAACTGTGCACGATTGTTTTGCAAGATGGGGTGGGGTCTTGTGTGCCAGTAATTGCCATTTCTCCTAATTGGTTGCGGACCACAGACTCTCTTAACTTGCCCCTCCCCTCCCCCCGTGAGAAAACGTGGTTTGGCTACTTGTTCCTTTTCCGCCCATCTTTGGAAATTTCGATCACCACACGTGCACCCCCCCCTTCCCCAGAGTCTTTATACATCATTGTTCTGCTTATAAATGTTTACTGACTGTTGAGAATATTTTAGTTTTTTTTTCCTTAATTATAATTGTAATTGGCTTTTTCCCCTTTTTTTCTCTTATTATTTTCTTGTTCTCTTTTCCCCCGATGCTGTTTTTTGCTTTGCTCTGTGGTTGCATGCCGCCTCCTGGTGTCTCCCTCCATGACGTCACCTTGGCTTGTCGCTGTGACTCCCGACACGCCCCCCCACCGCGTTCCATAAACGCTCCACCCTCCTGTTTTGTTGCTTCCATGGTTCCCTACCGAAAAGTTTCCATGATGCACGGTGCTACGCCCACCACTGTTTCTGCAGCAACTACACCCGCCACCAGCGTTCCTTTCGCTGCAACTGCAACAGCCAATCAGGTTTGCCCCCTTTTCGATAGCTTTCTTTCATGGGGTCGGAGGGGCCAGGAGCTGGCCCACGTCCCGCGTGGGGCCCGGTGCGTTTTGCCAGGGATGACGTAGAGATGGGGACAGCGAGGGTGTGAACGAAACCCAGCTCGGTCAGGGGCTGTTCGTCCTGATGCTCCCGTTGAGGCCGCTGGACCGCTCTGGAAACTCCCGCCAACTGGCGTGTTGGGGGCGGTTGGTGACCAATCACGAGGACACCCTCCTGGCAGAGGAAAGGTGGGCTGGGTTCCCCCAAACCTTCCTGCACCCTCACTCTCTCTTTATGAGCCTTGAGGAGAGGCCGGTGCCTCATGAAGGAGGTCGGGTCCTTGGGGCACAGGCCTTCCTCCTGGGTGGGGGTGGGGTAATTTTGAACCAAGAGACCGGGAAGTTTGAGGGGTCCAGAAGCATCACTCTTCCCCCTCCAGATGTGCTGGGGCAGCAGCTCCCAGACTTGGCAGGCTAGGAGCAGCTGTTCAGCCCATTTGGAACCCCAATTTGTAAGAGGGCGGGGGAGGTGCTCAAGTTTGACGAGGAGGAAGAGAGATTCCTGCCAGCTCATCAATTGAGGCTGGAGTGCCTCCCTTCCTTCCCACCCCCAAAGGAAATGGAGTCCAAGCATGGGTCCCCCTAGCCCCAAACTCTTTGTCTCCGTTCATATCTTTTCAAAAATGCAGCAGGCTCCTTCCAGCTTTTCCCAGCCAGTTGGCTCTGCTCTTGGGGTGCCAGTCTTGCAATTTGGGAGGGGTGGAGGGGCTCCTTCCAGGCCTTTCCTGGGACAGGGAACCTAATAACCACTCTGTAAGAATTAACCTGAAAGAGACAAGACGCCAAGCACTGAACTTGGTGCCACGCCAAATATATCGATTAGGAAAAATCAGCCCAATAACCCATAACCAGCTTTCCCGGAGGGTGTTAAGGGCCGCCTGCAGGCAGTCTGCCAGAAGTTGTGGCTGTGATGTCATGTTTTCATGGAAGCGAAAGGGAACAAGGCTAAACCCGTGAAATCTCCCCAGTGTCTTTTCAACTCATTTAAATTACACTTTAAAATGATCTCTCTGATCTTTCCTAGGGATCTAGGGATCAGCTGTGATCTGGAGGGAGGGACCCATTTCAATCTGCTTGAAATGGTGGTGGTGGTTTCTGTATTGAATATTCCTGAAATTACTTGATGGCTCACTTGTCCCATTAATGTGGTATAACCAGGGCAGGCTTTCTCAACTTCAACCACTCGGAAGAGGTGAAGAACCTCAGCTCCCAGAATTCCCCAGCCAGCATGGCTAGCTGGTGAATTCTGGGAGATAACGTCCCCACAGCTTCAAAGTTGACGTAGTTGCGAAACGCTACATTAAAGGTGATGCCTGCCGGCCACTGTATAGGGATGCTACCTTCAAGGGTGGTTGGTTTGATCCCCAACGGTCCACAAGCCCCCTCTTTCCCAACCAGCCAGTTGTGCGTGAATCGTTGAGGGCAGAGAAGACATGGCCGTGAGGTCAGAGCGACATCACGTGCGTTAGGGTGTCACTGCACAAATTTCGGTGCAGTGGTGTAATTGCAAATGAGAGGATTAGCACTGTGACCCTAACCCACCCACCCGCCCCCGCCCGCCCCCCGGGGTTGCTTACCTCCCCACCCCCACGCGACCTGCCTTAGAATTCCTGATGGGAATTGGAATTTAGCGGAGAGCGTTAACCCCTCTGGGGCACGTTTTAATGCCCTTTCTTTCCTCTTTGTTTTACTGCAGATCTCCCAGTTATCGGTCGATGAACTGAACAGCAGCATGTTTGTGTCCCAGATGTAGAAGCCAGACAACAGTAAGTGGCGCTCCAGCGGTGTTGACATGACTTGCCCGTCTTTGCCAAATGTCTCCGTTGTCACTGTTTCCTTTTCTCCCCCTTTTTTCCAGCGTCCTGTTGGCCTCCTGGAGCAGAAACGGTGGCACCCCCTGTGCGTCTTGTTTCCTTCTCCTCTCCCGGTGGGAAGCTGAAGTGGGCTCTCTGTGCTTTCTGCCCCCTTTTCCGTCTCTCCCTCCGGCATCGACAGTAAGCCTACGGCAAACATCCATGTTAACCAAAAACTGATCTGTGGGAATGTCAAAACAATTTTTTTTTAAAAAAAGCACTATATATAAAAAAAACGATTAAGAAAACAGTGCTCTGTTATATGAGACATAGAAGTAGAGAACTATAAAATAGACTTTTATAACACCTTACTTTAACACACTTTTTTAAAAGTGGGGTTTTATTTTTTCCTGTCTACCATCAAGACAAAGTGCTCTTGCACAGTGGACTTAACTAGGTTAATTGTTCTATCGTCAATGGATAAATGTTTGTCTGTTTTTCAAAGTGTTATCTTAATGTTTTGTTTACATCCTAGTCTATATTGACTTTATTTGGAGAGACAAAAAAAAGTTGTACATCATTATCAAGTATATTCCACACCATTTTTTTTTCACGATCATGATACCTTACATTTTCATAGATGACCGTTGTTATCAATTTCCCTTCCCCTCCCCCTTTTTGAAACGATATGCTATAAAGGTTGCAATGGGAAACAGGAAGGCCTTGCTTTTAAAAAAACAACAACGGAAGATCTGAAGATATTCAGACAGGTTGCAGGTGGTTTCTGATCAGGTTGATTTCTAAACATTGCAAATAGTGCAAAAAGCAAAAAGAAAAACCACTTGTCTGGAAACAGACCAGAAAGTAAAAATGGACCAGGGACTAAATGCTGAAGAATTTTCACTGGAGGGCAGAAAGTATTGGCCAGAAAAAAAGATTTCTGTTTTCAGTTACAATTTCCTGCAGTATGTGGCCTTCAACTTCCTAATACTTTAGTGACTAGGTTTTAAAGAAATCATGTTGAAGAAGATTGATTCTTTTTATTAAACAAAAAAAAAATGGGCCTTTTTTACCGTCAAAATCAAAGTTAATCTGTAATATATACAGAACAAAAAAAGAAACAGGCGTAACCCAAGATATGGGGTTATCTTAGATCAGATAAGTAGCACCAAGCAGATGCCTCAGTTCTCCATTCGCTACTTCTCTTGCCAATAATAACGTTGATTAATTAAAGGGCACTTAGAAAACCTACGCATGGACAGCATTTCCATCTGTCAATTGCAAAAGGCTGCCCTAACTTGGAACCACTTGTGTATTGCACCAATACATTATAACCTCCCAGGTCCTTGGGAAGATCTGGATGGGTATGAAGGCCAAACCCAGCTAAAGAGCTGGCAGCTGTGATTTCACATCGCTGTGTATGTAATAGTAACGAATTTCCTTGCCTCCAATCATGTAGAGAAACAAAACAAGTCTTAACAGCTTTCCCAGAAATTTTCATTTTCTTTTTCAAATAGGTTAACGCTTTCCTGTCCGTAAGCAACTGATTTTACAAATGTAGAGTTTAGGATTTAGGATCTGGAGGTAATTCTAGATGCATTCGCCCTCAGAGCTCGTTTGTTTTAATTCGGTGAGCTTGGCATCCCCGTACAAATGGTTGGATGAAGAACCAGCTGGTGCTCCGTTCTGAAACATGAGAGTCTTTGGTCATTTTTACTTTCGGGGGTCAAATCGGGGGTGTCCAATCTTGGCAACATTAAGACCAATGGACTAAGACTGGGGGATTCTGGGAGTTGCCAAGGTTGGACAGCCCTGAGGTAAATTGAGATGCCTTTCCAAAATTGGAACCCCATAAAATCCAGAAACAAGGAGAGCCGCTGATTGATGGAAACATGGAAATCGGCCTCCGGAGAACTAAGCCCTCTGGTGCTACTTTGAAGACTTACCGAATATTCATCTAACTCCTTAAATTTGGCATCCTGGCACGTCTGAATGTCCTTCAGGTCCTGGTTGCAGACTTCCTGTTTCCTGGCTTTGTAACCGAGTTAATGGAGAAAAACAGGATTTGAATACTCCTTAGGAGCAGATAGTTATATATTTTAAAGATGGTGGCGGCAGCGGTGGCGATGATGATGATGATGATGATATGGGATTTGCACAACCTGTGGCAGTGCCTCTACAGAGAACATCCCTGATCTCTAGTTGGAAAGATGATTAGACACATGCACACACACACACACACACACTTGTGTACACAACGCCGGTGTTAGCTTTACGTTCTTCAAAGCGAGGAGGCGGAGCATCCGTTTTTCAGTGCGACGTAGATGGAGATTTGTGTAATCTTGTCACTTTGATGTAACTCTTTCCGGTTTTCTCTGAATGATGTTGAGAAGCAAAAAATATATATAATTCTTGCGTAGATGTGCACGGAATGTAAGCCTAACACATTTCCACAGCATTCAGTTTCACAGCTTTTAAAAGTGCTCGGAAGGATGTAGGAGCCAAAAAAAAAAAGGGTGGGGGTAGTAGGAGAGATTGACTCCTAGCTATCTTTATCAAAGTGTCCTCTAACCTGTTGAAAAACCTCCTGCAACAGACATTGAAACCCATCATACGACCACACACATAGCACATCTCACATGCACGCACACACATGCACACACTTTATATGGAGATCCAGTGATAGGTGTGTCAGGGTAACTTTTCTAGGTGCCACAAGAATTTTTTCTTTCTTCTTGTTTTTTAATATCAACTTTTGCAAATTTAGTGTTTGTTTGTAAGAGAGAGAGAGGGAAAAAAAGTTTTGAGGAAGAAGAAGAAGAAGAAGAAAAAGCAAAGCTTGAAGCTTTGGAAACTTCACCAAATTTCAACCCGAGGGTGGGAATAGAAATGCCATTTGTGAGGGTAGCACTATTAAAAGATTGTTTGTGCAATGACTTCTTTATTCAAGAAAGAAAGAAAAAGAAAAAAAAAACACAGTCGGCAGACTATAAATTCCTTAGGAGCTGCATTCTGTCTACAAAGTCGCTGAGCTATTTGGTGACTCTAAAATCAAATCTCCCGAACCCGGATTCAGGTGTGAACTTGATTCCAGAGATTTTTCTATAAAGATTGTTCAAATCTGTATGTGAGTTTTAACGACTTATTTTTTAAAAAAAAACTGGCGCAGGTGGATCCAAGCCTGCGTGTTCCTTTTTTTTTTTAATTTATCCAAAGTTCTTTCTCTCAAAAAGTATGCATGTGGTTATCGATTGGTGTACGCGTGCCCATTTTCTCTCAGCCTTATGCAAATAATATGCAAGAAATGCAGAAAACTTGAATAAAACGGGTCATTGCAGAGGGAAAACGGAAAAAGCTGATTGGTCGTTTTTGAGGGGGGAAAGTTGTTAGCCATTCCATTAAAAGAAAAATAAAAATAAAAAAGAACATGTGTTCCTAAACCTTGAACATGACATGCACAAAAACTAGAGAGGGTTTTAGAAGTCGGTGGATCTGTAAAATGATGATTCTTATCTTAAAAGTACAGTGTTCTGATGGATTAGATTATTTTTTCATAATCAACCCTGTTCGGTTTGGTTTTTTTACAAAAATTATTTAGCATAAAGGGATTTTTTTTTTTTTTTTTTTTGTAAAGTGGTGTAATTTTTGCAATATTGTGTGAAATTCTCTCCCCAGCCCCGTTCCCAGAGCCAGCCCCCCTGCCCTTGGCGAAAGTCTTGCCAAGCAGTTTCAACTCCTTGCAAAAGAGATCCTCAGTTTTGGCCTGGCCAAGATGGCCCCCGATTCCTCCCAGCCTCCTTATTTTTCAGTCTTGCTAGTCAACCTGCCTTAAATCCTGGGAAAGCCAGTGAAGCGATTCATTAAGTGAGCCAAGAAATGAGATTCATTTGGTTTTGCTTAGAAGTGGAATGAATGTGCTGGAAGGGACCTCAGAGGTCTTCTAGTCCAGCCCCCTGCTCTTCTCAAGCAGGAGAACCTAGACCATTTCAGACAGGTGACTGTCTAGGGCTCTTTTAAAAACATCCAGTGATGGAGCGCCCACGATTATTTTCCTTTCCATTCCTTCCCCGGCGCATTGTCCCTTCCTCATACAGACAGTCCTTGGCTTACGACCACGATTGAGGCCAAAATTTTGGTTGCTAAGCGAGACATTCGTTAAGTGAGTTTTGCCCCATTTTACAACCTTTCTTGCCACAGTCGTTAAGTTAGTCACACGGTTGTTAAGTGAATTCGGCTTCCCCTATGGACTTTGCTTATCAGAAGGTTGCAAAAGGGACTCCGGGACTCTGCGGCCGTCATAAATATGAGCCGGTTGCCAAGCGTTCGATCACGTGACCATGGGGCGTAAGCATGAAAAACGATCGTCAGTCACTTTTTTCAGTGCCATTGTAACTTCTTGTAAATCAAGGACTTCCTGTATACTATCAGCAGAGAACTTGAAAACTCCATTTCTGAATCTTCAACCAGGTTGAAGTACAGTCTGGAGTGAGATTGTTTGGGGACAATGCATTTCTCCCCCCTCCCCCTTTTTTTTTTTATTTTTTTATCCTGCTCCTTATCCTTGCTTGTAAGCCTCCTAGTGTTGATGTAGCGAGGAGGGCCGTATAAATTTCCGAAATAAATTCCCCAATAAACCTGGCTTCCTCTCAAATCTCTGAACTCACAAGACAGTCGGTTGGAATTTTTTATTATTATTTTTTTATTCCTCCAAAGCGGACAACCGCTTCATGCACCAGGAATTCGGCAGACTTGACTTCTCACCAGCGTTTACTTGGAGAGTAAACAGCTGTTGTCTTGAGCAACATATTTGAGCCATGATGTTTTTCTCGTAGAGTTAGGAAGGGGTAGAAAGTACATTGGAGCTAGTTATTGCTAGGGCGGGAAGAAGACCTTAGAAATTAAGGTTTATTCCCTCTTTTTTTAAAGGGGTTTGCAGAGAAGCCACACCTATGCGAAGGGTGGGGATTATGGCGCGATCCTATGCATCTTATTCCAAAAGAAATCTCAGCCTTTCACTGGCGCGCTCTGGTCCCCAAGTTATAAGGCTGGCTTGTGAAAGTGACCCTTTTTACAGACTAGCTCAGGGGTCTCCAAACTTGGTAGCTTTTAAGACTTGTGGACTTCAATTCCCAGAGTTCCCCAGCCAGCATAACATAGCTGGCTGGGGAATTCTGGGAGTTGAAGTCCACAAGGCTTAAAGTTGCCAAGTTTGGAGAACCCTGTACTATATAGATAGATAGAAAGATAAATAGATAGATAGATAAACAGAGTGATATATGTTAAATGTTGGAAGTCTTACCGATGGGCAAAAGGCAGGCTGGCCTCCTGTTGATCTCAACCAATTACTTAATAGGACGTGTTAATACACAAAGTTTTAAAAACTGGAGTTTCTCCCCCCCCTTTCTTTTTTTTTAAAAAAATCCGTAATACATTTCACTGACAACTAAAAAAAAAAAAGTGAAATATATGAGGAAAAGTCTTAAATTTTCCCTTCCTCCTGAAAGGATGTACCGAAATTATTTTTACCACGTTGCCTGATCAGGCCTTAGAATATATTGTATGTTTAAGACTGTAGTAATTTTTTTAAGGAAAAGATACCTATTATTAGTTGATAGCCTAAAAATAATTGTAAATAGAATTTAAAAGACGTTGTTAATAGGCTACAACAAGTTAATTCATGTTGCATTACTTTCCATTTATTTTATTGTTCGTTTTAACAGATTTTATTATTGCTTTCATATATATATATTTATATATGCACATATATGTGCATGTATACATATATAAATATATAATCTTTAGTAACTAATGAATTTAATTTTTGAAGGAGAGTTAGAGAATGTTAAGATTTTTAAATACATGTATTCAACTCTTTTAGTTATCTTCTAAAAACAGCAACACTGAAGCGCATGCCAAGTTAATAGAAAACAGAAAAAATACAGTCCATAATTAGTTTGTATAGTTTACAGTTTAAGAACAAACGGAAGAATTAACTTTGTATGTAACTCCTTACAATGATAGATTCATTGTTAACTAATTATAATTAAGTTGTTGTTGCTATGGCAACAAAACTACAACATGGCTACCTTTGTATACATTATTTGTGAAATTTTCACATGTAAATTTAAAAAAAAAAAGTAATGTGTAACAGTATGGGTTTGTTTAAGGTACAGTTCAATACTGTCGGAGAAATATATGACTGAATATTTTTAAAATCCCAAAGTCCCATGTGAACGCTGGATTTGTGTCTTCGACGTCACTTTTTCAGTCAAAAGTTTACAACACATGGATTTAGAGTCAGGTTTTATAGCTTGTAGAAATTGTTGTGTGGGTTGGGTTATTCCACAGTATTTTTCTCGGTGAGAGAAATGAGAGAAAGGGTTGCCACGCATTAGTTCCATTTCCAAATAGTAGATATTTTGGAAAGCGGAATACAGAATTCGGTCCACAGATTCCCAGAAAGGTCCAAACAAAATCAAGGGAACGTAGTATTCTGCAAAATTGAGGCCTTTTTCATTTGGTTGGACTTGATCTCATTAAATCTGCATTGAATTTTGCAGCCGTTGCCTTTTTTTTGTCCCTTTGTGAGGGATTTCCCCAATGAGAAACCAGTGGATTTTTTTCCAATCCTTGACGTTTTAAAAATCATCTGCCTAAGAGAATCATGTTCTGAGCCCATGAAATAAGGATGTCCAAATCAGGACCAGGAAAGAAAGACAAATCTATATTTTTATTTATCAGCAGAAAAAAAAAGGAAGAGTTAAAATATGTATGAGACACACAAACACACACACACACCTCAAAAAAATACTGTGGAATAACTCTGTGACAGTGTTGAAGAAACCAATATGCTGCAGTTAAAACTGATTCAGTTGGTGTACGAATGTGTGTGAGAAGTCTTTTTGCACTTATGTACATAGTCCACGAAAGAAATCCTTGGAACTTATTTTGAATATATTAAAAAAAAAAAAAGGTCTGTAATAATACAAGGTAAAGTTTGTAAAAGAGATTACTAAGGCTTTGAAAAGGAAGAGATTTTTTGCTATAAAACTTATCTGAACGCATGAAGTTGCTTTTGCTGTTCTCCAAGCTTTGTAGTTTGCCATATAGTTTGTAATACAGCGGACTGGTCACTTCAACCTGCAGCTCAGAAGAAAACTCCATATGGGAAACAAATACTTGACTTCAAAATCAGGGTCACCCGCAAAGGTTCCTCCAGGATGATTTTCTAGCCACCCCTCTTTTGGGCCTTCCGAGAGGAGAGCCTGCTCCAAAGTGGAGCCCTTTCCGTCATTCATTCATTCGTTCCAGGCTAGGTTTTGAAATACCAGAAGTTGCCGTTGGATAGATCATCTGTCCCGCCTGCTTCACCCTTAAACAAACCCCCAAATTGTGGGTCTGGTTCACTCTCAACTAAGGCCTCCCCAGCTCCAGTAGGCTCATACTGGCTGAGGGATTCTGGGAATTGGAAGTCCACAAAGTCTTAAAAGTTGCCAAATTTGGAGACCCCTGGCTTAGGTTCTCCTAAGCATCGAGGTCCTGAGAATGGCTTTGCACAGAATGTGGAGTTGACCCCATAAGCCAGGTCCAGTTTTTAAGACAAGGGAACCTTTGCATAGGCTTGTAACGATTTTTTAATAGAATAACAAGAGTTGGAAGGGACCTTGGAGGTCTTCTAGTCCAACCCCCTGCCCAGGCAGGAAACCCTACACCACTTCAGATAAATGGTTATCCAACATCTTCTTAAAAACTTCCAGTGTTGGAGCATTTTCTCACTGTCAGGAAATTTCTCCTGAGTTCTAAGTTGCTTCAGAGATCAATGCCACAAGAAAATGTACTTTTTTTTTCCTGTCTGGATGTGCACAATGTTATCTGGAAAGATGCGCAGACGAGTATGAATTGCCAGCTCAGATGCACGTGCTAGCCAAAAATGGATAGATCACAGTGGACTTAACCCAGTTTTAAAATGAAAAAGCATTCCAAACTAGGGGTTGGGAAGAGAGAGAGAGGAAGATAAATCTTGGTCAAGTTGAGATGTGAAGTCAAGCTTCATGGGTGAGTTGGGCGGCTATATAACCTTGTTTAATAAAAGATAAAATAAATAAACGTGCCATTGAGCCCTCACTGCCAACGCCCAACATTAATCTCAGCACCAGGCTTAAAAGTTCAAGAAACTTTGGCCAACCTGACGTCCTCCAGTTGGGTTGACTTTCAACATTCAGAAGCAGAAACTGGGCTGGTTGGGGAGTAACGTAGAAGAGCTGAAGTGCCACCTGATCGAAGAAGGACACCCACTTCCTTAAGGCCCCTTCCCCCAGCCAAAGACCCATCTGCAGGTCCTTCGGTTGGGGGAAGAGGTCTCTTTCGGGGGTGGGTGTCCTTTGATTGTAAGCGGAGGGAGAGAAGCTCGACTCTTGTAGCCCCCTCCTCCCAGGAAACCTTTGCTGGTGACCCTCATAGCCACGTGTCCTACAATCAGAAGCTTCACGCCTTCCAAAGAAGGCCACGCAAATTAATCCCCCAAACTGCCAACAGATCATAACGATTGAAATGTCCAAAAAAGAAAAAGTGGTCTTTTTTTTCCAAACACACAACAGAGGGAAATCACCTGACGTAGAATTTACATGGTTTCAGATCTTTGTTACTGTACACAGATGCTATTTGATAGTTGTGGAAGCCAAATGATTTTGTTGCCATGGCTCTTGGTATCCAAACGGCTGAGGGGACGACTTCTTCTGTTGCCTTCATACGGGGAGGGGAGGATATTTCTGTTCAACTCGTTTTACAGTCACCGGGACCAAAAATAAAACCTTCCAAAATTCAGAATGCCAAAACAACCTACTATTGTGGCGAGGGTGATTTATTTTTTTTTATTTTTTTTAAGGGAGGCCAGATTTTAGTGCAGAAATGTGAATTCTGCTACAAAGAAATCCATGATCAACAGCAGATTTTTTTTTCTTTAAGCCAGAAAACCTCAATCTTTGTCCAGGTTTCAAATGCTTAATTCAGACTTTTGCATAAAATCAAGAGGAGGAGGAGAGGTTTTTGATCCTAAAGTCTAATTTTTTTGTAATTATTTGGCTTGGGTCTCCCCCCCAAAAAACCCCGGCCAATTTTGAAAATTAAAAAAAAAAAGAAAGCTAAAATGGTTGAATAAAAAATATAATCTTGCAAGGGACCAAAAGGAGACTCGGTAGAAATCAGTTGATTCGCTTTCAATCTGGTTCCATCGTGATGCAAATCCAGATTAGTTCCAGTCTGTAAAATTCAAGGCCAACAAGAAGAGATCATTCCCTCAGTTGTTATGGATGGAATATATGCTTTGATGTTTTTATTTTTTTCCTTTTCGCCACATTTATATTGCTAGAGTGCTTGTTTGTGCTTTCTAGAAACATTGCATAATGCAACTCATTTTACTATGTTACTTCTATATTGTTATTGTTTATTTTTTTTCTCCCGGATCTTTTAATAAAGTGTATAAAATTCTCTCTGTATGTTTTTTATGAACCTATATCAACACATTTAATAAATAGGACTTTACTTTTTAAGTGTCTGGTTGATTAGTCACAACCTCGAAATGGCTGTTCCATCGTTTCATATTGTGGAAACTTATTTTATTTTATTTTTTAAAAAAGGAAAGATTAACGCTGTTTGGCGATTGTCATGTAAATTAAATAGGACAGCTAAGCTCCATTACTTTCCTTTTTATGAAGGGAAGAAAAGTTCATTATTCAGGATTTTGGCTTTTAAGCTGATACATTTTTTTCTAAGTTTTAACTGGTTTCTTGTTGTTTTTTCCCCGTTTTAATTGTACAAAGGAAAAAGAAAAGAATTTTGAGCATATTAAATTTCAGTGGGATGTGACAGCAGAGAGAGACCTATTAGCTGATGTGCTTGATATCCATCTGCCAAAGGGAAAACCCTCCTCCGTTGTCCTTCACGTACAAATTAGATTTTGAGACACTGATATTATTACGTGTCCTTCTTTGTGTGCAAAGCCCTGTTCTGGAGTAAAGTCTTCCAATCAAGTTAATTGGTCTGTTCTAACCACCCACTTCTAAATCTTTTTCTGCTAAAAGGACCCAGTAACAATAAGGCACACTGAACGAAATGCAAGGACACGCTGTAGATACGTATCTACTTCACTTGACACACAAACCAGCATTTCTCTCCAGAAGATCTCCATTGCAAAATATTATAACGTCCTAGCGAGAGCTTTCATTGAGGAAAACCAAGACAAATAGCAACATAAACTCTCTAATGCATCCAAGTAAATAGAGCAAGAAAAGAAGGAGAAAGTGACGCTAGAAGAATGTTGAAGAGTAAATCCTAGGAACTGTTGACAGAAATATGCTGCGTATTTTGGAAAGTCTGTCTGGAGACTCGGATTGAAAGCTCCCCTATAGAATCTTTCAATGTGTTGGTCTTCATAAAAAGAGAGTTTCGAATTTGTTTTGCTTTTTCAACCGAATCATCTGCAGGACTTTGGAAATAGTGCAGGATCAGCTACTGCAGCATAATGGTGTCTGGCTCCAATTTCTGAATTGTGCAACCAGAAAGTTATTGCACCAGTGGTTCCAGAAAAAAATACTTCTGCTGCTGACATTTTCCTCCTAACACTGAAAAGAGCAGCAGACAAAATGCACCGTCATCGAGCTTCCCATTAATTGATCCGCAGGACTCTTCTTGGAGATGAATCTGGCAAATGCAGGCGAAAGTCATAACCCAACAAATGAATTAAAATGCCGAGAAGTGCATCGTTGTGATTCTTTATTCGTACCTGATAACTATCCTGCCTCTTGGTCTTACGTGACCAAGGTCAAATAAAGTGAGAGGCACCAGAGAAAGCAGGATTAATAGATTTTAAGAAGAGATTGCTGGAGATGGGAAAAAGATTTCAATTTCTAATTGCCTGACAGTACCAGAGAACAATTCAGTGCTCTCCCCACCCACCCCTATTCTAGTTTGGATTTTTGAGAGTTTCACACCTGCAAAGGGAGGGTTTGCATTGGCTGCCCTTCTCCCTATCTTCATCTTTGATGGCCAGTTCCAAAGTTCTTTTTTTATTATTAAAAGTTTTTTTTATTTTTTAAACAAACAAACATTTAATATATCAGTCATTCCTTCCGTGTGACATCTCGGTGTTGTCTCCAGTCGTTCTTTTTGTTATTTCTTCTGTCTTCATTCTCATCCAATCAATTACAACAATTCATCACTAACAAAATATTCTGATCATAGCATTTTTATACATAACAATTAATTTACTTATTTGTATCTCTTTTCTAACCAATAGTAGAGTTGATTCCATATCTTTAAGTATTCTGAATCTTCTCTTTCTTTAATCAATCATCATAGTCAATCTATTCATTTCTGCACAATCTAATTTTTTTTTAATTACTTCTCCTTCCAAAGGTATTTTCTCTGCTTTCCAATGTGCACGAACAATCCTTGCAGCTGTTATTACACGTATAATCAAATAAATATTTTCTTTGCTAATTTTTTCTGGCAGGATACCCAGTAGGAAGAGTTCTGGTTTTAAATCAATATGTTGTTGTATCATTTCTTCCAGACATATCTTAATTTTATTCCAATAGTTTTTAGCTTCTGGACATGTCCACCACATATGGTAATAAGAACCTGGTAACTGGTGACATTTCCAACATTTGGCTGATTTATCTTTATAAACATTTTTGCCAGTTCCAAAGTTCTTGTAGAGGTTATCCCATCATAGGGCTGCTAGGTAAGGATTGCTTGTCTTCTTTCTTGAATTGAGCCATGACTGGAAAACGGCAGGCATAAAGGAGAAACGACAGACCAAGCCAACTTTGCCAGGATGACTTCTGCCCACCCTAATTTGCCTTGGGAATGTTTTTGCTCAGGGTTGATGGGGAAGGCGCAACGGGACGGGCAAAGCCACAAATTGCAACCTATTTTTTTTACCTCTTGAAACCTTGCATGGCCGTGTCTGCCTGCAGGGTGGCAAACATGGCACCCCTTGGCACAGCTGCTTGGAGTTGTCAAGAGAGTTTGGAATCGGCCTTGTTCTGAAGATGGGAGAAGCAGCGCTACCGTCGTTTACACCAAATAAAATCCTGATTCTTGGGTTGCAGCGGCGTGGAACTGTCGGTTGATTTCACATTCACGTCAGTATCCCTCCTTTCAGAGACAAGTTGTTGGGTTGATCTGATTTGGACCAACTGGTGGCTGAATCAAACCACATCTAGAAACCCAAGGCCAGAGACTCTGCCACGGAACATCTGTGAGGATTGACCCATGGAATCAAGGTCAATCAGAGTTTATCTGTTTCTGTTTTGGGGCTGGCCACTGACCGTCCCTTCTCTGCCAGCAGGGCTCAGTTACAAGAAATCCTATAAGCTTCCTGCATTTGTGCGTTATTTAAACTCTCCGCTGTGTCAGGATTTGGCAGGCCACAACATGGAAGGTGTCGTTTTCAATTAAGGTGGCCTCCAAGGCAGGGAACTGGACAGCAGCTGCCGGGGAAGAAAACAGGCCAATGTAACAAACCACAAGGCCTCAGCTGTACTAGGGAGGGTTTGAGGGGGGAAAAAGTCTTGCAAAATTGGCTGGGTCAGGAAACTTCCCATGTCATTCTCCAGGGAGGGCGGCCTTTCTGAGCAAAACCTGCCTCTCCTCCCACCACCACCACTTTAGGCTCCCAAAATGGGATCTGCAGGAAAGAAGGTTCCCCTCACTTGTGTGCAAATGCCCTCAGCCAGAGAAGCCCCTGGAGTGGATTTTTTGTAGGACGGAGGGAAATCGTTAAAAACATAGAGAGCAATTCCTTTGCTAAGCAAAGCCGAGAAACAGCTGGGACTCTTGTGATTTAGCATTATTCAGGAAGGAACGATTTTGCAGCTGCGCTTCTCTCGTAAACGTGTTCCGCCTGTTTGGTGGCTTTTCTGCTTTCGGTGATCTGCAAACCCAACCTGCTTAGTTTAGGATACCGTGAGGAAGATTTGTAGAAAACGCATCCGATCGATACCATAACTAGGTGGTTAAATGTAATTGTGTGAGCCCAGCTCTAGAGTGTCCCTAATAAAGAGCAAGTCATCTGAAATTTGAACATAATTCAATCTAGAAATCGGCACATTTGGCCGCTGGGATTAAGACCCGTGTCAAATAGCGGCCAAATTCAATTTAAACTGCATTCTAAACAAAATTTGCTTTGGTCTTGGCCCCAGTGGCTGCTTCCTCCTGCCCAGTAGGAAAGCCTCTTGGAGGAAAACGTTCTCTTCCCTCGGCAGAGCAGTTCCTCCGCCTGTGAGCTGGGCGGGTGACACTGCTCTGAGTAATGCCAGCCGCTCCCTTGCTAAAAATGGATCCATCCACGCCCTGCGACTCTCTGCCAGCCAGCCATTCTCTTGTGACAAGCTGATGGATGCATTTGCAAAGGGAGGAGGGGTGTGTGTGTTTGCAGCTGCACTTTGCACAGCGGTGCCCCCAAAGGGAAAAAAAAACCTGCCTGTTTTTAGTCCTACAGTGGGGCAGAGGTTGGAGACAAACAATGCATGACCCCTAACATCCGCATTCGGTCACTGGCGTCCAAAATTAACTCCCAAGCCTGTGCTGGGGTTCTGCAGCGCAGCCTATCGCCTTCGTTGCTTTGCTTTGCTTGCATGGCTAAGCAGTCATTAAGAGGGTGAACTGAAGTGACCTCCGCAATCTGTTAGCATAACCTTTCCTCTCTCGGAAGCCCTCTTTCCTCCCCCCTCCCTCAACTTTCCTGGTCACTATCATGCTTGCGTCAGGGCTAAAATTACACGATAAGCTTGTCCAGATGGGATTCTGGACACTGTTTCCTCGGCCTCCTTGAAGCTTATTTCTCCTCCCGCTAAATGTTCTCGCTGTACATGCTGCACGCTCCGTTGTGTGGCTGTCGGACAGAACAATATTTGGGCCAAGGGGCCCCTCTTCAGGAGTTTAGCAAGGGGACCAAGCCCCCCTAAGGAAAAATTAGGCATAATTTGAGTTGCACAGCTAAGAAAAAACATACCCCATGTTGTTCCTGCAGAACAGCACTCTCTTAAATTTCACTGCTGTTAAACGAAGCGGTGAATCTCTTGCTGCGTTTCCATGTTCCGACTGGAACTCTTGTGCCTTTTGTAAATGTCTTTATAACACATACCAGTGAATCATTTGTACCGTTTCTACTTCCTTTGAAGAGGAACATCCGGTAACATTCAAGGAGTCCCATCAACGATGTAACGGCAATAAGCTTATTGCAGTAATTTACAAACAGCCCTATGGTCCTGTCCTCCATAAAGCAGTTTTTTAAGTATTATTTCAGAGGGCGTGTGTGAAAGCAAGAGTCTTTTTTTCCCCACCAAGGAACAAAAGAGCTTTATTAAGCCCTTAAGAGCAAAGTTGAGGACCAAATCTGAATGGAGAGGAAAAAAAGGAGTCGCATATTTTCAGAAATCCCCCCAGCTTAACAAGGAATCTGGTCCAAGGCATTTAAGGTCGTGATGGCGGCCAGTCTTTAGGCCAGGATGTTCAGGAGGAAACAGTAAGAAGCCGGTGTGTTAGGTATGTTTATTGTTATGACCATTTAATAATAATAATAATAATAATAATAATAATAATAATAATAATAATAGTACAGCTTGATTCTCAAGTCCTGATATCTGGTGACTTTTTCAGATCGACGAGAAACAACTTGACAAAGTCACCAGATATCAGGACTTGAGAATCGAACTGCAGAGACTCTGGCATAAACCAGTGCAGGTGGTCCCAGTGGTACTCGGCACGCTGGGTGCTGTGCCTAAAGACCTAGGCAAGCATTTAAAAACAATTGGCGCTGACAAGATCACCATTGGTCAGCTGCAGAAAGCCACTTTATTGGGATCTGCTCGCATAATCTGCCGATACATCACACAGTCCTAAACGCTTGGGAAGTGTTCCACTAGTGATTTGGGATACGAAATCCAGCATGGTCATCTGTTTGCTGTGTATACTGTCAATAATAATAATAATCATCATCACCACAAAGTACCGGGACTTGCAAATTGAAGTTGAGCGACTGTGGAAAAAGAAATCGTGTGTTGTCCCGATTGTAATTGGAGCCCTCGGAGCAATACCCAAAGGGCTACCCCGCTATTCAGAAATTCTAAATTTGCCGGACTTGAACATTTTGACTCTACAAAAAGCCACCTTACTCAGAACAGCTTACATCCTCCGACGATACCTTAACAGTTCCTAGGTCCTTGGTTAGGACTCGAGCTGCTGAGCTATTAACCGGCCTCAAAGGCTGTGAATCTCACCAAAGATTAACCAAATAGTAGTAGTAGTAGTAGTAGTAGTAGTAGTAGTAGTAGTAGTAGTAGTAATACAGTTTATAGCAGGCCAGCTGGATGGAAGAGAAACACAGGCAGGGAACAGGATTAAGGGGATTTTCAGGAGCAGCCACTCTCGGTCCCTTGTTCTGAAGATTGTTTTAAAGCCCTCCAAGGGACCTCACAATCCCTGGATGTGCTGCTGCCTTGTGGGGCCACTGGAGAACCGATGGGGGGGGGGGGGAAAGGGAGGCTTCATCCCCACTTGGGCTGTTGCAGAGCAGTCCAGCCACTGGAGGGTCATCCTGACTCAGTTTCCCTCTTGGGAAGGGCAGCAAAGGAGCAGCGATGCCGAGGAAAAGAAAGTGGTGGTGGGGGGAGACTCTCCATGCAACGGCCAGGCTTCCCACTGTGGGAAGGAAAAACTAGGAAAGGCTTTTTCGGTCTAGGCTGGAGGGTTGCCCTGGGATCTCCTCGTGGTCTCCCATCCCGGGGATGGCGCCGCTCAGCCTTCCAGCATTCCTCCTTTTTTTTTTTTTTTTCCTTTTCTTTTTTCTTTTTCTGGGCCTGCGAGGAGCTCTTCCCCCGCTTCCCTTCAAACGGGCCGCCCGGAGGTGACAGGCTGGGCTCAGCTGAGCGCGGCTCTTCCGCCTCGCGTTACACTTTTAAGCTTCCCTTCCGCCCGTTTTCCCCCCCCCTCCCAAAAAAGCATTTCCGGGGAAAATCGAGACAGCCGCTCTGGCCGCTGCTTCTCTATGTTTGTTGAAGGCGTCGCTCTGTGTCCATCCCTCTTTCCTTTCCCCCCCACCCCCCCTGACTTCCTTTCATCGGAGGCTCTTCGACTCCACCCCGGAAGGAGCGGCCGCCTTCTCGCATCTCTAAGCCCCGCCCCGACGGCCAGCGAAACCTTTTGTTCAGGCATGAGAGAGAGGCATTCCAGGGAAGCAAGCGGAGGGCTAGAGCGGCCCCGCTTGGCGGGTAGGGCGCAGGCGCCGCGCGCTCCTTCCGATTGGGCTGCCCCCTTCCGGCGCTCCACCACCACCACCACCACTACTCCCCGCGCCCGGAAGTGGCGTCATCAGCGGCGCTGCCGCACTCTTCCGCGCGGGCGGTTCCCCAGGCCGGCCATGGAGTGAGGCGGCTGAGGCGGCGGCTGAGGCGGCGGCGGCTGAGGAGGCGGCCGGGCCTGGGGCCGTGTGGAGGCGAGGCGAGGGGAGGCGCGGGAGGTAGGCCGCGTGGAGCGCTCCCTCCGCCGCCGCGGCCGTGGCGGGGCCATGAGGGAGTACAAGGTGGTGGTGCTGGGCAGCGGCGGGGTGGGCAAGTCGGCGCTGACGGTGCAGTTCGTGACGGGCACCTTCATCGAGAAGTACGACCCCACCATCGAGGACTTCTACCGCAAGGAGATCGAGGTGGACTGCTCGCCCTCCGTGCTGGAGATCCTGGACACGGCCGGCACCGAGCAGTTCGCCTCCATGCGCGACCTCTACATCAAGAACGGCCAGGGCTTCATCCTGGTCTACAGCCTCGTCAACCAGCAGAGCGTGCGGGGGGGGGGGGGGGGGGGGGGGGGGAGGAGCAGGGGGGGCCCTCGCCCCTCCCCCCCTCACGCACAACACAGACCCACAATACACACCCCTCTCCTCTCTCTCACACACCTCTCACACACAACACACACAAACACCTCACACACACACATTCACTCTCTCACACACATCTCACACCTCACACAATACACACCCCTCTTCTCACACACTGCCCGGCCTGCCTTGCCTGGGGATAGACCCCCCCACACACACTGTCCCCCCCCCCCCCGCCACGTGCGCACACACAATACACACACACACACCTCAGACAATACGCACCCCTCTTCTCACACACCTCTCACACACACACACCTCTTCTCACACACAATACACACACACACCTCACACAATACACACCCCTCTTCTCACACACTGCCCGGCCTGCCTTGCATGGGGATAGACCCCCCCACACACACTGTTCCCCCCCCCCCTCACACACAATACATACACACACGCCCCCTACACCTCCGGACGGGGAGGGGCTGCTAGGCCGTCCTGGTGGGGAAGAGTGGGGGGTGGTTGAGCCTACTGGGCCTGCCTTAGACACACGTCCCCGTCCCCCCCGCCCTCCACAGACCTGTCTGGAAGGGCCTGGCCTTTCCCCTCCCCCCAGCCCGAGTGTGGAAGGCTGGGCCCCATTTGGGGACCTGGGAAGATGAAGCCTCCCCCACCCCCTTCCTGGGATCTGGGTTAACCCGAGGCCTCTCGCCTGGCCCTGCCCAAAGTGGCCGGGGAGACTCCCAGGGCTGGGACCAGCACCGGCTTCCCCGGTTCCTTGGAGGGTTCTTCTCCACCTTGGCTTCCACAGAAGGAGCCAGGAGAAGCCGCAATGGTCCTCCTCCATCTTAGACTGGGAGGAAAGGCTCCAGCTTCTGGGGCCCTGAGATGGAGGCACTTCTTGATGCCCTTGTGGCCTCCAACCCCCACCATGTGTGGGTTGACGAACCCCAAATTCCAACCTTGCAAGTCAGAGCAGCCTCTCTTCTCTTTCAGCCTGGCTTCATCCTATTACTTTATACCGATTTCTTTTGGATAGTAGGATGTATTTTTCTTTTTGAGAGTAGAACTGATGATGTTCCCTAGCTGGGTCACGAAAGGTCTGCAAGAAAAACACCAAGCTCAGAGAGGACCAAACCCTGAGCTACAAATATTCTCTTCTATTAGAATATTTTATAGTAAATGTTGCTGCCTTAAACTGTCTTTTGGGGCCTACTGAGGGTGGGGGGACCCCAGGCTCTTTGGCCCAGTGTGTTAGCATTGCAGACGTGGTGAAGCGCGCCCCCCTCTTTTGCTCTTGCACCACCCCTCGAATTTTGGAGAGCATTCACCCGTTTTCCCTTCTTCCCCAGGACATCAAGCCGATGAGGGACCAAATAGTCCGTGTGAAGCGATACGAAAAGGTTCCTCTCATCCTGGTGGGGAATAAAGTCGACCTGGAATCGGAGAGGGAGGTTTTGTCAGCGGAAGGCCGAGCTCTGGCCCAGGAGTGGGGCTGCCCCTTCATGGAGACTTCTGCCAAGAGCAAGACCATGGTGGATGAACTCTTTGCCGAGATTGTGCGACAAATGAACTATGCATCCCTGCCTGAAAAGCAAGAGCAGTGTTGTACAACTTGTGTTGTCCAGTGAGGGAGAAAGCAAACTCTCCATCATGGCCATGCAGAGCAGGTAAGTGCCCCCTCCCCTCCCTCCTTTCCAAAAGAGCCTCTGGGTCAGGGATTGGGCTGTTCCATGCAGCAATGCCAGGAGTAGGTCCATTGTTGAAGCGAAGAGCAGCCCTTTGGCTCCCTGGCTAAGTTGGTGGCTGATGGGTCCTGCGCTTGGGTTCCCTTGCTACCTGAGTACAGAGAGCCAGAATCTGCCAGTGTTAACTTTGCTGGACGCCTCTAACAAAACACACCAGACAGGAGCCTTTTTGCGAATTGGTTGTGATTGAGCTGGCAGCACCTCTCTTGGACTTCTTGGACTTTTCTTCCACCCTGTTTCCAAAATAATTCTGAAGCCAGGATTGGTTACGTTGCAGTGCTTGGTCTCAACAAACATGGTGGATTCGCCAAGTAGCAGGGCAAACAGTTAAAAAAACCTGCCTTAAATCCTCCTGGCTCAACACGGAACCCTCACAAGCCATCTTCCCCAGTCTTTGGTAGAGAAAGTGCTATTGTGAGATAATAAGGGGCTTTTCTATTAGAATCAGAATAGAGCTGGAAGGGACCTTGGAGGTCTTCTACTCCAGCCCCTTGCTCAAGCAGGAAGACCCTGTACCATCTCAGACAAGGGACTGTCCAGTCTCTTCTTAAAAACCTCCATTGATGGAGCTCCCATGACTTCTGGAGGCAGCTTCTGTTCCATTGGTTAATTATTAGCCACCTCGTTTCAGAATTCTTACTCTTGCTTGGCAACTTAACTTATTCCGAGTACCCGTATTTTTCAGAGTTAAGACACACCTTTTTCCTCCCTAAAAGGGGGTGAAAGTTTAGGTGCATCTTATACACCGAATGTAGCCCTGCCCACCCATTGGCCCCCACCCTTTGGCCTCCGCCTCCTAGCAGCAAGCAGCAAGAAGAAACAGCCCATTTCAGCTTCAGCACAGCCTAATTAGCACAAGTTGATTGGATGGGCCTCCCGACTCTCAGCTGTTTTGCTCTCAGCTGTTTTGAGGGGGGCTCTGCTGCTTGCTGCAAGGAGGTAAATTGCTGGGAGCAGGTTTTTTTTTCTTGTGCTAATCAAGCTATGAAGCAGAGGCAGATTTCTTTTTCTTGTTTTCCTCACCAAAAAAGGTAGATGGCGTCTTATAGTCCGGAGTGTCTTATGCTCCAAAAAATACGGTGTTTACTATCTATGGTGCATCTGTATAGGCCCGCTATAGTTGATCCTTCCCTGACTCCTTGTAAATAAATGTTGATTTTTTTCTTGCAAGGCCAATTTTCTCCTGCACGCTATTCTGAAATATGCAAATCGCTTTGTTTCATTTGAAGAAGGGGGAAAGCTAACGGTTCAGTGGCAACGCCCACTTCTTAACCTGAAGCAGCCTCTTAGCTCTAATGGAGCGGGAGGTTGTGAAAGTGTGGTCATGGGTCAGCTGCCCTTGAATTTTCCGGGGGCTGCAGACATGATCAGCAAATGAAGTCGTGTTGCAACCACACGGGTTGCATGAAACGAAAGAAAAGGGAAGCAATGACTTAATTTTTCCCAATAATCTGCAGCCTTCTGCCTCTTGAGAGGCTGAATAGCTTCCATCTCAGTTTCTCCCTGTTCCTGTAACCATGTAGCTGCCCTCTTTTGAAATGGTAGAGTGACAAAGGTCACCTGGAGAGCCTCATCAGCTCCTCAAAGCATCAAATTGTTCAGGTGTAACAGGAGGGAAATAACCCCTTTCTCTAATAGATTTAGTCCCAAGCTTTCCCCCTCCCTCCCAACTGCATTGTGTAAGAAATCTGGTTGGGGATCTATTGGATTTAACTTTTGGGTGGTGGGAAGTACTACTACTACTACTCTGCTCTGCTTGCATTTTCATAAATCAGGATCTCTGTGTGGCTTGGAATAAGTTGTCCTCTCTCACAGATCCCCAGGAAAAGCTGTAAAAAAAATTAATCTGCAGGTCAGAAATAAAACTCTTTTGGGATGACGGGAAAACAGACCTTCGTACCCGGTGATGCCATCAAAACAGATCCTGGGAGGATCTGGGGCAGTGGTGGGTTAATCCTGGTTCTGTCCGGTTCTTTAGAACCGGTAGTAAAAGAGGCTGGAGGCTCCGCCCACCCGCCCAGACGTCATAATTGACGTTCTGCGCATGTGCAGAAGTGCGTGCATTGCAAACTGGTAGTAAAGGTAAGTAGAACCCACCCCTGACCTGGGGCTCCCTGACATAATTCTTTCTCTTACAGATAAAACTCAGAGGAAATTTGCACAGATGCTGCATTGGAGAACTCTTTTTTAAGCCCAGGTTGCTGAACTGAGCCTTGCTTAACCTGGTCTCGGTCTTCAGAGCACGTTTTCCAGGCATCCGGTGTGAAACAGGCAAGGGAGCAGCCAGGGGGAGGCAACGGGCCTGCTACAAACACTTAGCATGTTTACCATTTGATTTGGGAATCTGTTCTTGATCTCTTGGGGTGTTTTTTTTTTTTTTTAAATAGCTTTCTAAGTTCCTATTAATGGCTAATATGCAAAAAGTTCATTTTAAACTATTTTATTTCTTTAATTGATTTCTAAATCTTGTATTTATTAAACTTTAAACTCAGTATTACCTACTCAAATGCCTTTTTAAGAGAAAAAAAAATTAATGGAGAATAAAAGTGAGCCTTAAACACAAATGGTTACTTCTGTATATTACCTCACATCCGTGCTTGATTTGCAAAAGAGAGAAAGAGAGAGAGAGAGAAAGAAAGAGCGAAAACAAGATTTCTTCTCCTCTAAAACGTCATTGATTGGAACTTTGAAACATTCTGTTTACATGTGATGGTGTCATAGAAGGATGTTTAAGAATTGCCTGATACGGGAGGACGCGGCATCCCTTTTCTCAGCAGCTGTGGTGGCATGTGGTTGGCCTGATGGGAAAGCTTTTTCGGTGGGGACTGGAGGCATCCAGCAATTTGTATGTGTGTTCTCTGTTGTTATATGGTATTTGGATTTGGTTTTTTTGAAAGAAAAGGCTGTGTTGAAAATCACTCGTTCATCTGCTTTATTACATTCACCTTCCAAATGCTGAAAAGCCAAGTTTTCTTGGCAAACGGACCGTGTGTCTTCTTAGGTTGTGTTCCAAAGCAAACCTGAACTTGAGATTTCCCCGATAGGATTTAAGGTGACTTTGGCAAAGGGGGGAAAAAAAAATTCAATCCTTGGCCCGTATCTGCCCCAAAACGGCAATTTAACTAATTGTGGTCTTGGAAGAGCAACACAGATTTTGAGCAGAAGGAAGAGAGCATTAGTGGAAGTGTTAGCACCGCAACTGTTGTAGACCTTTTCCTGGCACTGGTGTAAAAAGTGTCTTTTATCCACTCCAGGCAGGGAATGAACCTGCACCAGGTTTTAAAAGCCCACCTGAAGCCCTTTGACCGTACAGCTAATCAACTTCCGTAGCAGCCCAAAACTTTTTAAGTGTTGACCAAATTTCATCCTTAAATCTATCTGGGTTGGCAGTTGGGACTAGCATGCTGGGCCTTCAACCCGAGTCTTCCCAGAGTTTTGATCTCTCGATTCAACATTTGCAGTGAAGTAAAAGGTTAGGCCTGCACTTTAATAGAAATCTCCAAGCGTAAAACCCCGTTTTGCAGTGCTCTTTACGTTGGCCAAGTATCAAGACGTGCCAAGGGAATGCAGAATTCACACAGTTGACTGTACCTTAGTTCTTCAGTGGTAGACACATTGCGTTAAACTTCTTAAACTTCTCAGTTGGTTGACCTTTTTTTAAAAAAAGAAAAAATTCCAATTCTTTCTCAGTTGGAGTTGGGAACGGCAAAGAGTTTGGCATCTGACCTGGGCTGCTGCTTCAGCGCAGTTTGGAACCGGGGGTGGGGTGGGGAGGGCTGGCCATTTAAAAGAGGCGGCCTTCCCAGTCGTTAAGTGTATCGCAAGGTTCAAATCCAGGCAGCCTTTGAGCTGTCGGCCTCCCCGCCCGCTTTGCTTCAGGCCCTGGATTCCATAAGGGCTCTGGAGCTGCACAAGGCCTCTTCTGGTCCAGCCGAGAAGGCGCTGGTGCATTTGTCCCACTGCCCTGGCTGAATCATGGAAGTCTTTTGGGCCAAGATCCCAGGTGATTAATCAGAGGAAGAGGAAGGACTCTGGTTCTCCCCGCTTCAAATGCCTCTTTCTCCACATGGCACAATGGGAAGCCAGACGGTGTTCCGGTGGGTGGGTGGGGTAGCCATCCAGGTGCCCAAACCCAGCCGTTGTCGGGAGCGATTCCTTTCCAGTGGCATCTCCTTCCTGGCATCCCTCTTCTGCCTGAATGTTCTCGCGATTTAATTCAGTGTATCAAATGTACTGTACCTCTTTTCTTGGGGAAAAGTTTAAAGAAAAGTCTGGAAATTTGGCAAGTTGCAAAACTAGGACGATGATCAAATGCTTTGTAAAGGTGAACCGCCATTTCCCCCCCCCCCTTTCTCCTCGCCCTTCCAATTTCATTCATTCTTATTTTGTAAGACAGCCCTACAGTCCAGCTGTTTGTAACTTTTTTAATAAAATAGATACCTGTATTACCAAAAGCGGTTTCCTCTCTTTTCCTGATTTAGCTACCGGGGGAAGGGTGGTTTTTGTGGGTTTCCCTGTAATGCATGTTAGCTTCTGTGCAGCCGCATAGCATAGGGTGTGGAGAACACACCCAGGTTGTCCTTTTGAGACTCTGTTGCACAATTTCAGCTTCGAGAGTTGTGTGAACCCCACAGAAGGGGAAAACGATGAAATACTCTGGGAGTAATTAAATGTTAATCAAGTCAACTTGAACTCTTCTACTAGGTATGTTCCCTTCTTTTCCCTGGCCCCCTCTATTTTGGGGATGTGACCCATGAGAATGACACAACCATCTTCTTATAATAATTTGGAAAGAAGGTGAGGGTGGAGATAAATATGGTTTTGGGGGGATGGTTTGGGCCTTGTCCTGAAGGGATTCTACAGCCTAGACCCCTCCTTGTAAGGCTTCCCAACTAGACTGTTTCTCCTCACACCCCAAGACAGTGGTAGACTTGATGGCCAAGCTTTATCCCTCCGTTGTGATTAGAGGAGGAAATAAAACACGCAGGCCTCCTCACTGAATTCTTATGGGGGACCACTGACCAGCCAGGGCCTCGGAAGGCAATCGGGCATCTCCAATGAGCTCGGGAGCAGCTTGGCCCACCTTGCTCAGCCAGGCTGTGTTGTGAGAGGACCAGCCGGAGAAATGGAGAAGGGCCCTCCCCACAACTGCACTTTTGGTGAGAAGAAGTCAAGGATCGAGCAGCTCGGGCGTGACTGGCAGATCTGCACTTTAGATCTGCAACCGACGAAGAAGGGAGGGATGGAGCTCGAACGACCGAACGGAAATGTCATTTCCTTTATCGCTTCTAAAAAACCCCCCACCCCATCTTCAACTTCTTGTTCTTCTTTCGAGATCTCGCACAATCTTGCATGCCTCTCCCGCTTAGCTTCACAAGAGCCCTGTGAGAGTGCAAGTGCTCCACCTGAGTTTCTCAGCCAGGAGTGAAATGGGGAGAAAAGACCTGCAAATGGGGGTGGGGGGGGTGGAAGAAAGATCTCAAAATAATAGAACTTGGATAGTAGGATCAGCACATTTAATCTCCCTGCTGTGCCATAACTGACAAGGCCTTCCTCTCGTGCCTACCGCCCAATGTGAAAAACCCAGATTATAGCAAGCTATAATCCTTTTGCAAAATCAACCAGGAATTTCCTAGAGGACCACCACCAAAATCTCCACTGAGCTGTGGTCATTTTTCATGTACCAGAAGGATGGGACATTATTAAAAATGGGGAACAATTCTATGAAACTGCATTACTTATTGTCACTTTAATGATGTTAGAGGGTGCTTATTCCTGCTCTTTACTTCTGAAGTGGTGGGGTCCCTGCTTGGTTACCCAAAACTCCCCAAGGCCACGGAGGTCTTAGAGGGGAAGGGCAACTAATGGCTGGCGGAAGAGTCATGCCTAAACCGCCTCGTGGTTTTTCAGTTAAGTTCACAGTTGCTACAAGAGAGAGAAGCAGCCTCCTTGGTTGGCTCCTTCCTATCTGGGTTGTGGTCTCTCTCCAACCTGCCAGGAAATGGGCACCAGCCACCTTTGCTCCCTGGTGGGGGGCAGGCAGGGCCCAGGGTGGCCTCCCTTCTGTGGAAGACGGCAAGCGGCTTGCAAAGGCTTCCGCTTCTGCACCAAGTGAGCATCAGATCCGCAGAGGTGAGGAAGGGTGGGCGCAAAACTGATGCGGAACGGAAATGTGATTTCCTTTATCGCTACTTCTACAAAAACCATCTTCCGCTAGTTCTTCTTCCAGACCACACGCAAGCTCTGTGCGTATATCCGGCTCGTCCTCCCAACCACCCTGTGGGATAGCAAAGGGCCCCACCTGAGATTCGTGGCCTTGGCCACCTTACTTTGGTCCTTAGGAGATGACGAAGCGGAAGGAAACGGGGCTCAGCCATGCGTGAGAAAGGGGGCATCAGAAATCTCTGCCCTGCTTTCTTTGGCATCACCACCAGTTTTTTTTTCCCAAAAAAGTTTTTTATTTTTATTTCTCAAACACATTTACATGTACAGTCATTTATCCATCGTTTTTCATTCATCTTATCTTTTAACTTTCATTTTTCATTTTTATTTTTCGGGGCTGCTCTTTACCTTTACCTTTACTCCAACCTTTCTTCTTCTCCTCCCCTTCTTTTCCTTCCTCTTTCTCCTCCTACTTTCTTCGTTCTTCCTCTCCTTCTCTTTTCTACTTCCCCTTCCCTTCCCCCACTCCTCTCTTCCTCCCCTCTTCTAATCTTCTCTTCTGCTCCTCTTTCCCCTTCCTCTCTCTCTCCTCCTTCCCCTCTCTCTTGTTGTTTCCCTTTTCAGTTCAATCTAAAGTGGTATTCGAGCAGCCCCAATTTTCTAATTATCTTTATTTTCATTTCAATTTCTTATTCAATTAATATTTATTTTTATAAATATTTATATATATTTGGCATCGTCACCAGTTTGATGCCATTGAGGGACATCCATAGAACTGATTGAGCAAAGATAACGAATCTGCTAGCTGAACCTCAGTTCTTGGCAATGATAAGGAAGTGGTTTGCTAGTGAATTTTTCTTTTTAGTTCCTGGTCTCACCAACAACCCCAAATCCCCAACAGCCCCAGTAACTCCCCTCCTAGTGCTAACTGGTCCTGTTGAGCTTCTGAAAACACCCAAGGTGGATTGGATGTTGCCACCTGAACTATCAAAGGTATCAAAACACCTTTGAGAGGAGCTCAGTTCCCACAACAAGACACCAGCATCTCGGTGCAACAACGCAGACAGGATTTTCCCTCGCCTTCTTTGGGAGGTCTTTCTTGTTTTTTATAAACGTTTTTTTAATTTTTTTTAGACAAACACACATACAAACATACAATGTATTTTCTTTGAACAGAGTATTTGGCCAGTTCACAAATTTAAACAATGTTTAGTCATTTCAATTAAGTTTACAATTTCTATATTTCCTTTTTGCCATAGGTATTCCTTATCTATTATTTTTTTTAAAGAAACAATATTATCCTTCATTCTCATCTCTAATCTTAATCATAATCAAATTCAATTTTTCCCTTCTATCTATATTATACCCCTTCCCATTGTCATCTATTTTTATATCTATCCTTACATTAGTTAGTTATGTAACATTACAGTTGTTTAATATAAATCCAACATTTTAGTATAAATCGGTTAATGATATAACTATCTTTTTTTTGTATATTAATCAATATGAACATAAATCTTCCAATTATTTCCATGCAATCCAATTTCTTACAAGTCAATTATTTACCAATAATAAAAAACAAAAAATGTCCCCCCCCTTATGTTACTCATTAAACTCTCCCAATAAACCAAATAGTTTTGCCCATATAATCCTCCAAATCACAACTTAGTCATTTCTACTTTCATCACAATATAGAATGAAAAACATTTCAATCGTTGCAATTTCCCTAATTAAATTTAACAATGTTCTAGCTGTTTTTTGGGAGGTCTTGATGGACTTTCCAGTCTAGGCCTTCAGCTCTGATGTCCCCCCGTGGTTTGTTACTCAAGGACCAGCAACTTCACTGCAGGGTTGTTGTAATAACAAAACGGAGAAAAGGGATTTCAGCTCAAAAGCCCTTCTTATGTTCCTCCACGTCTCTTGCATCCTGAACGTCTGATGGCCAAGCTCTGGAGCAGGAATTGTCCTCGTTCCAGCTGGGTCAACCCCGTGAACTTGGTGCTATTAATAAAATGAGGGTTAGGGAAAAGATTTCTTCCCAAACTTTCCTTGAGTGGGTGTATACAAAGCCACATCAAAATAAAAGCCCTTCAGAGGGAAACGTCATGGCACGGATTGGGCTCAATGGTTCTGCAAACCATTCTTTCCCTCAAGCAGGGGCTGCCTTTCCCTGGCATGTAATCCCAGGATACCAACCAAGCCCGTTGGGTACAACTAGTCCTGCCAATGTGCAGCGCAGTTGCTGTTAAAAACACAATTCAAGTGGAAAGTTAGCTTTTCAACGCAACCAGGAGATGGCGCTCTTTCCAAGCCAATGATGGCCCTTCCTTCACAACAGTCCAAAGTGATTTTTCTTGCCAGAGTTGCTAAGCGAATCCTGCAGTTGTTCAATTTGGTTGTTAAGTGAATCCGGGCTTCTCCCATTGACTTTGCTTGCCAGAAGGTCGCAGAAGGGGCTCGCGTGAACTGCAATCGTCATAAATAGGTTGCAAAGCGTCTGAATTTACATCACGTGACCACGCGGATGCTGCAGAGGTCGTTTAAAGTGTGAAAAACGGTCATAAGTCACTTTTTTCAGTGCCGTCGTAACTTTAAACGGTCACTAAAATGAACTGTTTTGTAGAAGGGAATCATTTTGTAAAGCGGTTTGGATCCTCCTGACAAGGTTCAAGGAACTAACAGTAACAGAGTTGGAAGGGACCTTAGAGGTCATCTGGTCCAACCCCCTACTCATACAGGAGACCTGTACTAGGGATTCGAACTCGCCAACCTTTCTGATCGACAAGCTCAGTGTCTTAGCCATTGAGCCACCTAAGTAGTGTAGAATCACACTTTGGAAAACGTTAATGGCAGGCTGAGGTTTGGCCAGCCGGTGATCCAAAATTATTTCAAAAAACTTTTCAGCTTAGAAGTTAACATCTCAGAGCAATACGAGGCCCTTGGACCTTCTGCATACATGGTTTTCTGTTTCTCTGGGGAAGAGAAATTAGATCTGGCACAGTTAAGGGTGTTAAGATTCCTTATTTTTTTTCCCTCTCCACCGATTGTTAAAACCATGAAGTGAAAGGCAACGTACACAGATATTGGGAAGGGATCCATTCCAAACACCAGATGGACTGCAGGTATTGGTAGGTCCAATTTGGGGATGTGGGTTTTAAGGGGGAACCCCGAAAGCGAACGAGAAAGGAAACAGAATTCTCTATAATTGCCACTTGCAAGTAGATTACTCCCCTCTTGGATATGTACCCATTTGGATATGTAGAGATGATTCTCCAAGGGGATTCCTACACTCAGTCCTGCCCTATTTGCTCCCACGCTGACCTAAATGTCAGAGGGAAAGGACCTTTTTCTAAAGCCAATGAAGATGCAGAAACCCTACAAATTCTGAGCCAACAAGCCTAAACTTTAAAAACGGAGAGAAGGTCATTCCTGTCCCGTGCCATTGCTTGTCTTTTCATCTTGAGGACCGATGGAGCAGGGCGGACCAGCTCTGGAGAAAACCTGGGTCTGGTTCACACACAACACAATCTTTATTTCTTTGTTCCGGGGAGACTATTTTAGCCTCTCTGCAAGGAGGAACGTGGAAAAGAGGTGAACGCGGAAAAAGGCATGAACAAAAGCAAACCTTTTCCGGTTTCGTGATGGTTGTCGTATCTCCTCCATCTTCCCTTTTGGTCTCCTGCTCCTTTGCAAAAAATCTGCACTCCAGGCTCCTGTTCTTATCCAGCCAAGAATAAAATTCTGTATGAATCGGAAGACGCCCGCCCTCCCTTCAGATCGCACAGAACATCATCCTCGCTGGCTGCTGAGCCACTCACCTAAGGATGCTTCATCTCAAAGTCCAGTTTCTGGATGACTCTCAGAAAATCTTTGTGGTTGATGTAAGTATATTCGCTGCTTTTTGTCTATTATTTTGCCTGCTGGAATTTGTTTGACCTTCTTGGACTGGGTGATGTTTTAATTTCAGTACTGGTTTGTTTATGTTTTTTTTTAAATCAGATGTCTGCATCTCCCCACATTTTGAACAGTTGCTAATTCACAGTAAGGACTTGACTATTTCTAAATATTCCTTGGACAAGACCCTTTCTGAGTAAGAGTCATGGTTTTATCTGATAATAAATAAATCATTTTAAAGTTTAAAGACAGTGTCCACCACTAAATCTCTATCTTGAATTGTAATCCCCAAATGTGTTAAGAATTTTAAAAATAGCTATTTTATAAATTAGCTCCTACTTCATTTGTTCTATAAAATTAATGTTCCAAAGAATGAATTAGATGCAGGTGCTGAAAAAGAGGCTTTCTGACAGCTAAAATCACAGGCTTGTAGTGAGTCAAAATGATAGCTATCATTGAGACAAGTTATCGTTTTGGTAAATTTAGCATTGTTGCACTTTATAAACATGGTGTTCGCCGTATAGCTAAAAGTGGAATTACCTAATACCTTTATCTAAAGGAAAGATCTTTCTGAAAGCTCTCTGTCAGAGAGAAATAAAGGGGTCTGTTTCAAAATGAAATCTTCCAGGCAATAAAAACATACATTTTGGAATTAAGCTGCAGTAGAATTTTTGCTTCATCTATGTGGATGTGCCTTTATTTTTAAAGAAGAAACATTGAGGAAGAACAGTACAACAATATCGATGGTTTTAGGTCTAAAAGTACACAGAACGGAGCATAAGTGCAAAATAATTTAGCTGTTTTAAAAAAACTATCTAATCTCCATCCTGATAGGCTGTTCGTGATGCTGAATATTTTAAGATTTATAGTTCAGAAGCCCTTGGAAACTCAGAGGCAGAGATGCATTAAGTCTACCTTGAAACTGGGATTTCTGGCTTGTAATCACGAAACCGACTTTTGTGGGATCGATTATCCCTGGTGCTGAGTTCCCCCCACTTTTTTTTTTTTTAATTTCAGATTCAGCATTTTTTACTTCCTTCTTTTCCAATTCACCCTCCTGCCACTTTGCTTCTTGGGTTTAGCTTCTTATGTGTGCTGCAAGAAATAACCTCCATTAAAGTTGGGCTTTCTTTTCAAAACCTCCAGAATACCTTCCAGGCATGCAATGCATTTGATGTCAGATAGTCACCATAATGTCCTGGAATTAAAAAGAAAAAAAAAAAGAGAGAGAGGGAGGGAGAGAGAGAGAAGGAGAGAAAGACAGATCGCCTAAGGTTACTTTTCCAATGGATTCTCTGAAATAGACGGAGCTCTTCATAGCAGAACCAGTGGGATGAGCTGGAAGTCCCTTAAGTGGATTTCAAGGTCAGTAAACAGAAGGGATTTTAACAAATTCTGCACGGAGAGAGCAAAAAGCCGAGTGACAATAGTGCCCCTTTCTTGCCTTAATGATATGAAGGGGTTCTTCATGAAAAAACTAAGCTGTTTCAAAGACTTGTGCACAAAATACACAAAGACTAATTTGCAAGAAGGCACCTTTGGATCGAATGGCAGGAAAAACATCCTAATGTTGCAGGAAAAGAATGGAACCAAAGACCCAGAGAGGAGCAGGTTGCCCTCTGTTAAAGTTGACATTGGGAGGACTTCAACTCCCAGGATTCTCCAGCTGGTGTCCCTCAACCTTCCCAGCTTGAAGATGGGAGGACTTCAACACCAGGATTCTCCAGCAGTGTCCCTCAATCTTGGCAGCTTGAAGATGGGAGGACTTCAACTTCCAGGATTCTCCAGCCAGTGTCCTCAACCTTGGCAGCTTGAAGATGGGAGGACCTCAACTCCCAGGATTCTCCAGCCGGTGTCCCTCAGCCTTGGCAGCTTAAAGATGGGTGGACTTCAACTCCCAGGATTCTCCAGCCAGTGTCCCTCAACTTGGCATCTTGAAGATGGGAGGACTTCAACTCCCAGGATTCTCCAGCCGTGTCCCTCAACCTTGGCAGCTTGAAGATGGGTGGACTTCAACTCCCAGGATTCTCCAGTGGTGTCCCTCAACTTGGCATCTTGAAGATGGGAAGACTTCAACTCCCAGAATTCTCCAGCCAGTGTCCCTCAACTTGGCATCTTGAAGATGGGAAGACTTCAACTCCCAGGATTCTCCAGCTGGTGTCCCTCAGCCTTGGCAGCTTGAAGATGGGTGGACTTCAACTCCCGGGATTCTCCAGTCCATCCTTCTTCAAGCTGCCATGGTTGAGGGACACCATCCTAAACACCCAGGAACCATCAACATTTAATGTGTGGGTCAGATAGTGCAAATAATCAGGAGGAACAGCTGCGGTTTACGCACTTCCCTGTCTTTGAATAAAGTGTGTTAATCAGAAAAGGTGCTTCCAAACCCCCTCCTGATTTGGGAGATACCCTCCCCTGACACCTGCAACACCTTGAATGTTGCAAGCATCTCAAAGAGCTTGAAAAGAGCATCGTTCCCAGCCAGGCCCAGAAGCATCATCGCCTCAATTCAGGCTGTTCCTTTCCAAGTCCCTGGCTGATGTCTCTTGAGCTCCCAAATCCTGCAGCAGGAGGAATAAACAGAGATAATTGCTTTAATTGCTGTTGCCACTCAGCTGTTTGTAAGGAAATAGGACGCCTCCCCCCCCCTTCCAGAAAAGGCAGTGATTACCCTGTCATTTCCCTAGTTACCTCTTTGGTACCAGGGTAGCAATTTAAACCTCCGTGACTGCAACAAGGGATTATCTGTCAGATGTTAGCATGCGCGCTTTCGCACCGAGCACAATGCACAGCGTGTCAGCAACCCCTCAATTTCCCTGGCAGCCCAAGTCAGAGGACAGGTGCCTCTGGATGGATGCCAGGAGCAATTGGCTCACCGGCCGGTCCAGCCAGAAACTTCCAAGAGGAGCTGTGGTTTCATTTCCTAAGTCTGGCTTGGCCCTCCAGAGAAGTTCAATCTTTATAAAGCATCATTTCTAGTTCTAGTGTGGAACAGAAATGTATAAATCTATTTTGATTCCACTCAAATATATATATATATATATATTTGCAACTCTGACAACTTTGCAAATTTCCCAGCGGTTGGGTCTCTTATCTCTCCTTTGTGAGTCTGAGATATTTTTTTTTTAGTTCGCATTAAGATAGATAATAAGATATAAGATAAGAGATAAGATAATCTTTATTATCACTTTTTTCTGTGAATACACTAGCACACATTAAAAAGTGAAATTCTGACGCCCGCTCTCAAAAGTATATATACTGTACCCATATAGAAAATTAAAATGTAGTGCACATTTCTTCCATCCTTTTTATTTATTTGATTTATTTAAAACCTTTATGCAGCCGCCCATCTTATAACCACTGAATATCGTCTCGCACCGCATATAAATTTGATAAATAGAATAACCAACTTTGAAATCTGGAAGCAGAAATGAGTGGCATGCAACTAATTAAAGTGGGATGCCAGTGTAATTTAATAAGGGTTGAAAAATGGATGGCATCGGCTTGGGGAAGGGGTGCAAGCATGTAACCTCAGTAGAAACAGGATTTCTTGTATCTAAATAAAACCTACTCCAACTTGGGGGACTTCAGGTATGTCCTAAAGAATCCCACTTTTGCAGTTTTGGAACCTGCAACATGCCTGGAAAACAGTTTGGGAAGATGGTGTCACTGGTTTAGCAAGGATTGAAACGTTTGTAGTTCTGAAATTGCCCCCGAAATTTTAAAATCTCTGAATCAGGTATTTAACTTTATCACTCTTCCGGGTTATTGCTGATTAATTAGCCTTAATTACTGACGGGTTTGTGCTGCTTAATTAAGATTGCCCTGCCTTTCCCACGCTGGCTCATGTCAACTGAGAGGTCAGGACTGAATCGAAGGTGGCAGAATTGAGTTAACCAAGAGTTCTTGGTCAACTTTTGGCATCTGGCAACTCAGGAAATAAACTTACTAGAGTCTCTCAAGTTCAAAGACACAAACTCCCCCTCGATTAAGTCACTTGGGAAGGGACTCTGCTCCACCACAAATCTTTAAGGGCTCCATAAAGACCCACCATTTTGAAGGAGATACTTATATGCCAGGAATTTGGTTTCCCTTCCTGGGGATTTCACACCCATGTTTGTGTCATTTTTCTGGGTGCCACCTTCCGGGTCATTTTTGAACTTCCCTGTGGAGTCACCTTGTGGTCTTCCATCCTGGCACTAAGATGGTTTGGCCTTTCTTAGGCTTTTCAACAGGAGCTACGTTTGGTTAATAACTGGAGCTTTAGAGATGCAGTAGTGCTAGGAAATGAGGTGGAAGCATTAAAAAAGATACACCCCCTTTTTACCCCAACCCTCCTCAAACTCAAGACCCTGAGCAGACTGAAGAAAGCAGACTCTGGAAATAGGAGACATGAGGCTTCTGCCTTTTTCTTTGGCACAGAACTCTATTTCTGTCTCTCTCTACATTATGTCTTCCTTCCTTCCTTCCTTCCTTCCTTCCTTCCTTCCTTTCCTTCCTTCCTTCCTTCCATCTCTTTCTCCAACCTTCCTTCCTTCTGTCCTTCCATCTCTTTCTCTAACCTTCCTTCCTTCCATCTCTTTCTCTAACCTACCTACCTACCTACCTTCCTTCCTTCCTTCCTTCCTTCCTTCCTTCCTTCCTTCCTTCCCTCTCTTTCTGGCCCTTTAGCAAAAGTCTTCTGGGAAAACATTATTTAACCTCAGCTGCAGCCACTTGAACCTGGCAGAAAAAGAATATTTTGGACTGGAGTTCTGGAGCCCTGCGGGGCATGCTGTAAGTTCAGGAGGGGGAATGACCCTAACCTCGGGGTGGGGCGGGGGATGTTTGTGTAAGGATGCCACATGGGGTTAGGATGTGGGGAGTGAGAGACTGGGGGGGTTTTTCCAAAATTGCAATAAGCTCGCTTTAGACACACCCTTTCCATGGGTCTCCCCCTCTGCAAGGGGTCAGAAGCTGAACTGAATTGCTGAAGTGGACAGAAGATAAAGGGATCTTGGGGGGGGTCTCGCTTCCAGAGGACTTTCCCTTCCCCAAAGGACTAGTTGGAGGAGAGGGCTGTTGGCTCAGTCAAGATGTTCCCCGCTCTACAGTTGGCTGCCCTTCTCTCTTTGCAGGCCTGGCTGGAACTTCTCAAGCCCATCACCAAGCAGATTAAAAGTAAGTACCTTGGAGAAGGCGGAGGTGGAAGCGTGGGAGGAAGAGGTCCCAGCCCCCTTTATGCCCCTCAGTAGAAAGCAGGGAGGCTCAGAAGCTGCTCTCCAGCCTGGGAACAATCTAGTCGTCCTTGCTGCTGGTTGAGGGGGGTGATGCCCCCTCAGCCCTTGTAGGGCAGGAGGGGCTCTTGTTGACGCTCAGAAGCCACCAACGTGCCATTGGAAAAACCGTCTCAATTAAGGAGAATATTTGTCGCTCAGGGTCGAAGTGTGGGGTCCCTGGTGCTCTCTGAGCTTGGTGGTTTTCCTGCAGACGTTTTATGACCCATCTAAGTAACATCATCAGTGCTAGAAGGGATGGGTTTTGTTGAACTAGGTAATATCAGTGCATTAATGCATTAATACTAGGTGTCTGGTAGTGAAACGTGTTCAAGAAAACAGCCAAGCTCAGAGTACCAAGGATCCCACAGTCCCCCTCCTCTTCCTCCTCCTCCTCCTCCCCCTATTCCCTTTTAGCACTGATGTTACCTAGTTGGGTCATGAAAAGTTTGCAAGAAAGCAACCAAACTGAGAGCACCAGGAACCCCCCCACAAAAACAATATGTTAGAAGGTCAATTAACTGCCTTCAAGAATTGCTTCCATTGCCAATCTGGGGGCTTCTTAAAGGGCATTGACTAGGAGGAGGAGACAGGGGGAGGGGTCTTCTTTTTGGCTTATTTTTTTGAGTATTTAAGAGCTGAGGATAAAGTCCCCATCCGAGTATTGCCTTACATGGATTTTAGGACTGGCAAACTTTACAGGGCAGGTGATAAGCAAAGTTCTTGGCAAAGACTTGCTTGCTACTCTCAAAGGATTCAAGAAAAGTCCGGGGGGGGGGAATAGAAAAAAATATTTTATTTATTTATTTAATATAATTTGTATGCCGCCCTATCTCCGTAGGACTCAGGGCGGCTCCCAACAAATAAAAACAAACCCAATAAAACATAAAATACATAAATGTATCAATATATAATTTAAACATATATTAAAATCCATTAAAATAATCAAAAAAACCCTCAGTCCAGGCTGGGTGAAAATGCAATGTGCTGGGTGAAAAAAACGTCCTCAGAAACCTGTGTGTTTTCACTAGTGAAGCGTTTCTCAGTCTCAGCTACTTGAAGATGGGTGGACTTCAACTCCCAGAATTCCCAAGCCAGCGGGGAATTCTGGGAGTTGAAGTCCCACTTATGCCGACTGGGGAATTCTGGGAGTTGAAGTCCACGAGTCTTAAAAGTTGCCAAGTTTGGAGACCCCTGAGGTAGAGGAAGGAGGGAAGGACGGATCCTTCTCAGGGGCCGGTGGGAATGGCTGTCTTTAGCGAAAGGACCGTTTTTCAAATGAAAAGCTGTGTGTAAATGTTCCCGACAGACTTTTTGAAACCAAACTTATGAAGATGTTGTGTTTTAAGATCCTAAGGACATTCTTTTCAAATTTATGGTGAAATTTTTCCCAGTGGATCCTGGTCATCTTAAAGAAGAGTTGACAAGGTAGGCTGCATGTTGCTTTTCGTTGCTTCGTTTCGTTTCGTTCTATTGTTTCCCCCCCCCCCACTATTTTTGCTCGTCTCCTGAGGCTTCCCTTTTAAAATAAATAGAGGCATAATTGCATCCTGAAGAACGGTGTATCTCCTTTTGTATGCCGGTTTAAAAAGAAGGCTTGATGAAATGCAGCTCCCTGTTTAAACTGTTTGTAATTTATTGTTGTTATTGCTGTGACAACAATAGAGGAGGCAGGAAGTATTTGAAGGAATATTAAGTATATTTAATAGGGCATTGATAAATAGATGAACTAGGCAAATAATGCCATAAAAACAAGGGATAGTCTTTGACACGGGCTCCATATCCTTAGCAAACAATGCTGGATTCAGATTGGATTCCTTTTAAATTCAAGTTTCTAGTCCTTAAGAAACTTACATTCAAGTTTCTAGTCCTTAAGAAGCAGAGAGAAGCATAAACATTAAGTCCTGGACTATTTTATGAAGTGACCGTTCAAACTCGCAACAGCCCTGGAAAAAAATGACTTAGCACCAGTGTGCACACTATACAATCCATCACAACATCTCCGTGTTCAGGGGATCAGCATTTGGCTCTTTGGGATCTTCCCAGCCGGCGTCTAACAAGCAGAGTCAATGTGGGAAGCCGGATTCGCTTAATAAACGGCTCCTTTAACAACGGTGGGAAAATTGTTGTAAACACAACCCCGTTAGCAGCGTCTTGCTCAGCAACGGAAATTCCGATTCCCAAATGTGGTCGTACATCGAGACCCCACCCTGTGTCGCCTCTCCAGAGGAAGGGGAACCCAGAGCAGTGAGAGCCCTGGAAAATGTCTTTGCAGGTACCTGTTCACCCTTCAGCTCAAGAAGGACCTGGCCTGCGGGAAGCTCCCGTGCAGCGACAACAGTTCGGCTCTGATGGTTTCGCATCTCCTACAATGTGAGTCCTTGAGCCTTGGAGGGAGAGGAAGAGAAGGGCAAGGACGCGGTTGGGTCTTGGGGAGGGAAAGGTCCCCAACGGGTAACACACAGGGTAGGAGGAGGCATTTCTTCCCCCTCCCCACTTCTGCCGTGGGCTGGTCCTGATTTTGCTCCTGGCTTTTGTTGGCTCAGTGTCTAAGACGCTGAGCTTGTCGATCGAAAGGCCGGCAGTTCAGCGGTTCGAATCCCTAGCGCCGCATAACGGGGTGAGTTCCCGTTGCTTGTCCCAGCTTCTGCCAACCTAGCAGTTCGAAAGCAAGTAAAAAATGCAGGTAGAAAAATAGGGACCACCTTTGGTGGGAAGGGAACAGCGCTCCGTGCGCCTTTGGCATTGAGTCATGCTGGCCACATGACCACGGAGACGTCTTCAGACAGTGCTGGCTCTTCGGCTTTGAAACGGAGATGAGCACTGCCCCCTAGAGTCGGGAACGACTAGCACATATGTGCAAGGGGAACCTTTACCTTTTTACTTTTTGTTGAAGGACCAGGGTTGTGTGACCACCAAATAAAGCCAATTCCGTTGACCAGACGTGTTCTTCATTGTGTCGATTGTTCCTGCAGCTGCACTGGGCGATTTCCATGAAGAGATGGACCGAAAGCACTTGGAAACGCACAAATACTTGCTGAACCAAGACGACCTGAGCAACAGCATCATGCGCTATCATAAGAAGCACATGTAAGTGACCGGTCTTCTCCGCTCGCTTTTTTTCGTTTTTTAAGGGCTCCTGGGTTCTCTCTGAGCTTGGCAGCTTTCTTGCAGACATTTCATTGCCCAAATAGGTAACAGCATCAGTGCTAGAAGGGAGTGGGGTTTGCAATAAGGAAGAGGAGGAGGAGGACTTGGTGCTCTCCAAACTTCTGTGTTTTCTTGCAGATGTTTCATTACCCAACTAGGTGCTAGACTTTTTACTTTTGCTCAGGATCCCTCGGCGTGAGAGCTTGAATGAAATTAAAACTTCCACACATAGAAAGTTTCATTCCACGGGACTTTCTGAACTGGAAATCAGACATTTGAGAAGAGAGATTTCCAGTCTCCAAACTGGGAGCAACAGAACTGAGAGGGAAACGTCCTGGTTGAGCCCAAAAACAAGGGGTACACAGCCAGGCCCTCCTCTCTGGCTCAGTTACTGACCCCATCATCTTTTCTTTCCAGGGGCAAAACTCCAGCTGAATCCGATGTGCAGCTCCTGGACATAGCGAGGAAGCTGGAGATGTACGGCATCCGTCCACATCCTGCCAGTGACGGAGAAGGGACCCAGATCAACCTGGCAGTTACCCACATGGGAGTCCTGGTACTGCGGGTAACCATAATTTTTTATTAGGACACCTTTCCGAGCAAGATACCCAATAGGTGAAGCTGCCAATGTGTGAATTCTTTGAGCTGGCGGCATTCTGTCCCCTGGCGCCCTCAGCGTTAAAGCAGCGCTGTGTGGAGCCCTTTTGGCAGCTGTCAATCATTCTAGAGGGACCTCTTTGAGAACTGAATGGAGGCATTGGAAGCTGATCAGCAAATGTCCTTTCTAATGTTAATTAAAAGCTTCCTGCTTTAAGTACAGTCTGGGGAATTGCCTCCCCGGGAAGCCCGAGTGAATATCTGAGAAAAATCTCTCGGCGGGGTCTCCATTCCGTTCGTGGCTTCGCCCAGCACCCTCTGATGTGGGCGCCTCGACGCCTGCCTTTCCTTGCTAAACCCAACTGCTGCCATGTCAGATGTGCCATGTGTAGCACAGTAGGGAGACGAACTCTTGGCCATATAATTTTCTGCCGAGAATAGCAGCCTCATTTTTGTGGCAATTATATGGTTCTGCAGCTCTCTGTTCAGGGGAGACGCAGACTTTGGTGAGAGCGTGTGCTGGCAAACGTAGGCGATGACTCCGCGACAGCCTTCGCCCACAGCTGGGCAAGGAGCAAGGGAAACGGGGAGTGGGGGGGGGGCAGCCTGCTTTGTTTTCTGGGTGCAAAAATGAGGGTTTTCTCCAGCAAAACTGTAGGAAGAAAAAGAATGAGACAATACATTGAACTCTGCTGCAACCACTGACTAAGCAATTGCTGGTTAAGGAGGATTCCTGGTTTTGACGTTCCGTTGGTGCAGAAGAGGCAGCTAGGAAGAGCTCTAAAATGAAAAGAATATATATATTTATTTTAAAAATGTATATAGCCCCCACTTTGTGCTGGGTGTTGAGCGGCCTCAGGCCAAGCCACGGAAAAGGGTTCTCCGTGAGTCAACTTCTCCGTGAGCCTCCTTCCACAACTGGATACTGTCAGGTGTTCCTGGTCGTGTCTCCATCTACTTCAGGGGTGCCCATCCTTGGCCATTTTAAGACCTGTGGACTTCAACTCCCAGAATTCCCCGGCCAGCTGTGGAATTCAAGGTTGAACACCTCTGATCTTCTTGCTTGTTGGCTCTTCATTTTTCAGGGCAACACCAAGATTAATACCTTCAACTGGTCCAAAATCCGGAAACTGAGTTTCAAACGGAAGCATTTCTTGATCAAGCTTCACGCCAACGTTTCGGTACCTGGGGGTTGGGATGTCTCTGTGTGTCAATGTCTATGTGTGGGGGTGGGGTGATATTTCTCTGGTCTAAGACACTCACACTCTCTGCAGAAATGATCAATGGAGGCAGCCGGCAGGCTGGCTGATCGGCTGGCAGACCATCGCTGCAACCAAGTTCCAAATTGTTTGGGGTGGATTGCAGGAGGAAAAAGGAAGGGTTTCTGGGGCCTTCCACCAACAATCAAAGAAGAGCAAAAACAAAGAGGGTTAGAGGGCTGGAGGCTAAAACAGGGTTGCTGGAACTGGGTATGTCTAGTCTGATGAAAAGAAGGACCGGGGGAGACATGATAGCAGTCTTCCGATATCTCAGGGGCTGCCCCAAAGAAGAGTCGGTCAAGCTATTCTCCAAAGCACCTGAAGGCAGGACAAGAAGCAACGGGTGGAAACCAATCAAGGAGAGAAGCAACTTAGAACCAAGGAGAAATTTGTGGGTGCTCCAATACTGGAGTCCCGAAGGTGCTTTTTTCAAGAGGCAACTAGACTTTCTGGTTTTTCTTTGAAGACGTTTCGCTTCTCATCCCAGTAGCGAAACATCTCAGAAAAACCAAAATGTCCAGTTGCCTCTTGAATAAAGCATCTTCAGGACAGCCATGACCTGGAGGACTGAGAATCTCCATAGACCAGAGGTGGGTTTCAGCAGGTTCTGACCAGTTCTGGAGAATCCGTAGCAGAAATTTTGAGTAGTTTGGAGAACCGGTAGTAAAAATTCTGATTGGCCCCGCCCTCATCTATTCTCTGCCTCCCGAGTCCCAGCTGATTAGGAGGAAATGGGGATTTTGCAGTAACCTTCCCCTGGAGTGGGATGGGAATGGAGATTTTACAGTATCCTTCCCCTGCCCCTGCCAAGCCACACCCATCAAACCATGCCCACCAAGCCACACCCACAGAACCGGTAGTAAAAATGTTTGAAACCCACCACTGCCAGAGACATCCAATACTGGAGGTTTTTAAGAAGAGAATGGGCAACCGTTTCTCTGAAGTGGTCTAGGGTTTCCTGCCTGAGCAGAGGGTTGGACTAGAAAACCTCCAAGGCCCCTTCCAACTCTAATTTCGCTATTCCCTAGCCTCAGTTTTCAGAAATATTGGATGCCGGCTGATCTGGAAAAGTTAAGCAGAGCAAGGATGATGAGAGACAACGATGAAATTCCAGGCTGTCATGCAAACGAAGAATTCTGGGAATGGAAGCCTTACCTGTCTGAAAGCTGCTAAGGTGGAGAAGCCCTGGACTGAACCATTGTCTTTGCCTTCTCCATCCCCAACAGGCTCTCTGCAAAGATACCCTGGAGTTCGCCATGGCGAGTCGCGACACCTGCAAGACTTTTTGGAAGACGTGCGTCGAATACCATGCCTTCTTCCGCCTCTCGACGGAGCCAAAGTCAAAACCCAAAGCCTTTCTCTGCAGCAAAGGCTCCAGTTTCCGTTACAGGTACCGTATTTTTCGGAGTATAAGTCGCACCTTTTTCCCCCCTAAAAGGGGGTGAAAATTTAGGTGCGTCTTATACACTGAATGTAGCCCCGCCCACCCACTGCCCACCCCTTTTGGCCTCTGCCTCCCAGCAGTTTACCTCCTTGCAGCAAGCAGCAAGAAGAAACGGATCCTTGCAGCTTCAGCACAGCCTAATTAGCACACGTTGATTGGATCGGCCTGCCGGCTCTCAGCTGTTTTGCTCTCAGCTTTTTTGTGAGGGCCTCTGCTGCTTGCTGCAAGGAGGTAAATTGCTGGGAGCAGATTTTTTTTTTCTTGTGCTAATCAAGCTATGCTGAAAATGAAAATGAAAGTAAAGCAGGCTGTTTGCTGCAAGGAGACAAAATTGCTCAGAGGCAGAGGCAGATTTCTTTTTCTTGTTTTCCTCACCAAAAAAGGTAGGTGCATCTTATAGTCCGGAGCGTTTTATATGCCGAAAAATACGGTAATTTTGGGGGAACCAGGATGCCAGCCACATTCTCTAGTCTGGGTGCCCATGGCTGCCTCTGTCCGCCAGAGGTTCTTCCTCTTTGCTTCTCTTGATTTCTTGCCTTTTCCAGGTGTGAAATATTAAACTGTAAGCTCCTGGAGGGGCTGGGGATTCTTCTTCCCCAAGGGACGGATTCAAAACGTTTTGGTGGGTGCAGTTTGGGGGGCCTTCGGTGGGTGCTGCAGAGGCAACTACTCTTGGACTCCTTCTCTCTTTGCAACCACAGTGGGAGAACTCAGAGGCAGCTGCTGGAACACGGGACCAGAGGGAAGCAGAAGAGCCTGCCGTTCGAGAGGTAATTTACCTGTTGAGAAGAACAGTTTTCATGTGTGTCTCAGGATCATCTCGCAGGATCCAATCTGGGTCGGTCCAACCAGGACCAGAGGTTTGGTCTTCCGAGCTTTTGGACTCGTGCTTGGAGCCCGGAGAGCCTCTCTCTCACCAAAATGTGTGCCTTGGGCTAGTCCAGTGATGCCTAACCTTTTTGCCATCACGTGCCAGGAAGGGGGGGAGCAAGGGAGGTTCGCACGCACATGTGCCCACACCCATAATTCTATGCGCCCCGCACCCTGCTCTTGGCATGTGATGGCCCGTTTTTCTTTCTCACCTGGCTCCAGATCCTCTCTATGCATCTGGGGAGGGTGAAAACAGCCTTCCCCACCCCCTCGGAGGCCCAAAATGGCCCATTTCCCAACTTCCAGTTGGACAGAAAGTGATGTTTTTTGCGGTCCCCAGCCTCCAAAGACTCCTGGAGCTAAGCTGGCGTGCCAGGTGACATGGCTCCACGTGCCACCTGTGGCACGCGTTCCATAGGTTCGCCATCATGGGGCTAGTCTATATATGTTGTGTTTATGTGGTTGGGTGTGGCTTCTTATTTGTTGATGGCGGTGTTGATGGCTGGCAATTAAGCCATTCATATTTTTCCTCCAGTCACCTTGCAACCTTCTTCGTAGATTTCTCCTCACCTCCTCCTCCTCCTCTATAAAAGCCTGCAAGGTACCCTGAAGTTTCCCAAGTGGGAGGGAGAGACACCCACAAATTAAGGGACAGCTGGGCTTTCTTGAGAACGAACCCCATGAACAGCACGGCAGAAATGTCTCTCCTGCTAAGTAATGAGGTCCCCAATCTTTGTGCCGAGTCGCATCTTGCTGGGCTAACAATCCCGCTGCGAACCTCTCCTTGCAAGGCTGTCGCAGGAGAAGTCGCTGGCCGGAAGGTTGGAGAAGCTTCAGGAATGGAGGAGAGTTTAAAATACCCGTTTCCAGACTTTGGGTTGGTTTCTCTCTTTCAGGAAACACTATTCCTCTCGCTACCATGACAGGCAATGCCGGTCCTCCCCGGATCTGCTAACGGATGTTTCCAAACAAGTATGTAATTTGAGTCAGGGGGATTTCTTGGGGAGGGGGTAAAAGAAAGGCTCAAGGTAGCAGCCATCCCCCCCATCCCCATGAGCTAAATATGCATCTTGGTGCACCTTAAAAATAGGAGTTTCCGCCCGTTTTGTTGGCTTTGGTGTGGTTGAAGGGATGGAGTAAGTAAGTGGGATTTGCAGATTCTTCCTTCAAGTCCAGCCCAAAGAAGCCTAACATGGATGGTTGGGTCACCTCTGGGTGACAAAGCGGCATCAGAAATGGCCTCTGGAGGCCTCAAGAAGGCAGCCTAAACTTTTCGCCTTAGCTTAAGCATTGATGCCTCGCTTTCCCCACAGATGGAAGACCTGCGGCTTGTCTACGGCACCATGGGGGGCTACTACGGCGCTAACGGCATCCACACTTCCGAACCCACCCTGGACAACCGACGGAGGAACTCGGCTGTGGAAGTCATCTTTGCGGATGAACTGGAGCGGTCGAAACCAGAAGCCGACCCAAGGTTGCTGCTGCTCCATTCCCAAAGCAGCTCTGCCTTCCCGGTGGTCTACACGGAGTTGGACCACGATTGGGAACCGGGCAGTCTCTACGGGCCAAGGAGCCCCCTGACCTCTTTCCAGCCCAGCTCCAGGCTGGACGGCCCCAGCAAGAGCCCTTCCCTGAGTAACATGAGAGACAGGAGCCCAAGGCAGCAGCTGATGTACACCGATGTCCCCTACGTAGCAGCGTCCAGTCAGCCCTTGGAGGTGGCTTCTCCTCCAGTTTTCTTCTACGTGGACCGGCCACCTCAGTACCCCAAAAGCCCCACCGTCGACCGTGCTGAGGAAAGAGTTGTGGAGGTCAACCCCTGCGAGGCACCCATGAAGCCACAAAGGAATCCAGCTGCAGCCCATCCCAAGTTGTTGGGGCCCCCGGCCCTGCCCCAGGCAACCTACATCACCCACCTTAGCATGGAGGAAGATGATGACGAGAACGTCTTTGACTACGGTGTTCAGGAGGCCCCCAAAAGATCTTGGAGCCAGTCGGACGTCAAAGCCAGCAGATTCCCTTGCGGCTCCGAGTTCCGCCCTCTCGGACCCTGCCCCGTCTTGACCAGCAGGAAGATTGACCTCTTGCAATGCCTGCTCACCCAGCCGCCCTTCCCGGAACCTCCCCAAGTCCAGAGAACCACAGAGCGCTATGCAGGCAGTGGGACCGAATCCAGCGACTCAGATTCGGACCTCCTCCCAGACTACTATGCCCTCTACGGGAGGGTTCTCAAAAGACCCCAGGTGCGAATTCACCTCTCCTCGGGGAGCCTCCAGCTGGAGGGAGAGGAGTCCCTGGTTCCTGCTGCCACCATCGATGATCCCGAGAGCACCTCCAATTATTTTATGTAGACAGTAGAACAATGGCACAGGTCAAAAGTACGTGGCATATTGCCAATTGGTCAGGTTATTTGTGAATTAAAAAAAAAACCCTGCTGAATTCATTGACACTGTTAAAGGGTTAAAAGCAGAATTAGATATCAGGAGTTTCTTTTCCTGAAAGGGACAAGTTCATTGATTTAGTACATATTTGGGAGAGGGGATCATAAATACAATACTGGACAAATTAAATTTTGCATCAAGTTTAGGGGATTTCCTAAATCAATCACTGATTAAGCCCAGAAAAGAAGGGAAAAAAAGAATTAAGTTTGCTGCAAGTCAACAATTGGGATTTGAACTGGCATTGCTACCGTTTCCTTTTTCTTCTTTAAAGCTTCCAATTGTGAGCTGCGGGGTTGCTAGAAATGCCAAAATGCAGAGGTGGCGTGAAGACTGACTGGCGTCCACCTACAGGGTGGAGCCTGACGATTCGTAGGATGCTGCCAGTCACAGAGCCAGCTCACCTGTACTGTATGCGGTTCTCAGGTTTATGTGGGGCATGGATGTTTTCCCAGTCCTGGTTGTTACTCACTTTTCCATCGTGGATTTTAAAGATTGGGGGGGGGGGGATTTCTTCAAGGGCTTGCGATGCTGAACTGATGGCGTTCAGTTCCCACTCGTGGGGTTGTCTAAGCCCAGCAGCCCAGAGGAAAACCACACAAGCTTTCCTTTAGAGCAGGGGCGTCCAACCTCGGCCACTTTAAAGACCGGTAGACTTCCAACTCCCAGAATTGCCCAGCCAGCGATGCTGGGAGTTGGAAGTCCACAGATGATGATTAGACACCCTTCCTTTACAGCATCCTCCTACCTTCTGTTCTGTCATTGCAATTATTCAGCTGGTTGGATTTCAGCCAAAGGGGTCCTATTTTGACCTTCGATCCCCAAAAACTGGCTCGGTACCCTGGAACAAGGAACTCAGGACCAGCAGAGACTGTCTTATCTACCGCACATTTTTAAAAAAATTCAGTTTACATGCGACTGTGTCAGAGGTTGAGAGCCTTCTCTGCAAATTCTCTCCTGAAGCTTCTCAAGATTGAGCCATTCTTAAAGATGTTCCTTTGGCTTGGGCAATGAGGGGTGGTTTTCCTTGCAGGACAAATAACGCTTTTTCCCACCTACGGTCCCTTCGGATGCACTGGTCTTCATTGTCCATAATCCTTGGCCAGAAGGATTGCAAAAAACGTGACTTGCCTCCTTAACTGATCCTTGGCTCAGGTGTTTTTGGTGGGACACAATCACACAATGACCACAGAAGGTTATAGAACTTAAATATTTATTTGTGTGTGGGTTTTGTTTTTGTTTTTTTAAAACCCTTTTGACTTTCTGCGTTTCCCTTCCTCAAAAGTGTGAAAGAAGCTTCCATCTATAAACAGATTTACAGAACTAAGAGAGGCCGGGAAGAAGGAGCGCGACGGTTCTGCTCGGATGATACGGTTATTTTGTAAAGCTTCGCATCAAACTGTATTTACAACTTGTACGGCTTCTGCGTTTATAAAAATATTTTATTTAATCCGTAACATTATTGTTTTCAAAAACTATGTCCAGACTGTTCCCCCCCCACCCCCACCCCTCAGATATAAATTTCTAATGGTGTTTCAGGTATATAGCAAGGAAACAATTTTTTTTTAAACAAACATTTCTTTAAAATTAAAACGAAGGAGTTAAAAGTTCTCTGTGGGTTTTTTTTTTTTTTTTTACAGTGTAGGCACCATTGAAAACAATTGCCCTTGGCATTTCTCTCCACTCTCTCTTGCCAGTGTCTTTATATCTTTCTGTTTTTCCTTACAAAGAAAAGGTTGTAATGGCAACTTTTAATCACAACAACAACAACAAAAATCACTGGTTGTTTGCACTCTTATTTAACTCCGTTCCATATTTGGCTGATACACTTCAAATCCTTTAAAATGAATGCTGTGCAAAAACCAAACGAAAAAAGAAAAAGAAAAAAAAATGTGCAGATCTGAACTATAAAATTAAACATATCCAGACTTTTTATCAAAAATAAATTTACACCCACACTTCCACAACCAAAGACTGAAATACAACACACTTCGATAGCATAATATACAAACTGGGTTGAAAAGGCAAAAGAGAGAGAACCTCATCTCAAACAGTACCATAAATATATAATCGAAAGCAAGTTTATAATTTCTTCTACCTTTTCTGAAAAAAAAAGAAAAGAAAAATCACCTCTGTACTGCACAGTACTTATCTTTTTTCCGTGAAAGAATATCTATAACTCAATTATTTGCTTATTAACTGGTAAATAGATATTTAAAAATACACTTTGGGAAGGAGGGGGAAATTAACGGGTTGTGGATACACGTAAAGGACTTCGTAAGTCGATCAATATCTTACAACGGGGGGGAAAAAATAATCCCACATACACACCCCACAAAACGCTGGTGACACAATTTCAGGTACTGCTCGGACCTGACAGCACAGATTTTCCTTTCTATCCAATTTTACTCCAGGGAGAAAAAACTCGGGTCGAATTGGGTCCATTATTGCCAATCCCCCCACCCCAAAAACCTTTCAACCATATTGCTTTAAAATTTTCTTACCATGATGAACGTTTCTTTTGCGTGGGGAGGAGGGAAGGAGGGGGGCCTCTAGGGAACCTAAACGGCGGCTGTGTCCATGCCACTGCAGCCTACCCCTTTCGTGTGCAATGCGTGTTTTTTTTTAAACGAACAAAAAAAAAAGAAGAGGAGGAGGAGTGGGCTTCATAGGCGTGGCCCCCGGCTGCCGTCTTGGTTTCTTTTACACCTGACCCCTTGCCCCGTTGCCGCTGGGATATCTTGCTCTACAAAAGGGGTACATACAAACTGTACACAGGATAACTGGCCAAGCCGTTGACGTATTGCTTTCAGGCGGAGGTGACACCCCCCACCCCAAATAAAACACTGTGCCAAATTCCAAGCGAGCGGAGGCTGTGGCCAGTTCCTCACACTCGGCAGCACGGGCCCGAAGAAAGACGCCGGGGCCCAAATGGAGAAGTGCTTCCGTGCAGCCTTCGCGCCTAAAAGTTACGTGCCGAGCCTGGCTTTGGGGGGACTGTAGGAGATCTGCAACTCAGGCAGAGGAGAAGAGAAACCCAAACGCTCCCGAAAGATGTTTTCTGTGAAGTTTAAAAGTAAAAAAAAAAAAGGCTCCAGATTTGTAGAGGAGGCCGATCCGCCTGGGGCAGTTGGCAATTGAGAGCCCCCCGGCTGCACCTAAGAAGCAAACGGCACAGACGGTTTTTGTCTCGTTTGAGCTGGATTAAAGAAGTTGGGAACTAAAATATTAAAAGTCGCTCTTTACAAAAAAAAAAAATGAAAGGAAGGAAGGAAGGAAAAGAGAAAAGAAAGAAAGCACGTATGCCATTTACAAAAGAGTGGAGTTAAATCCTTAAATCCGAATCCGCGATCATCATCAAAAAAAAAAAAAAATCTATTGCGATGATCCCGAAAGGCACAGGAACTCAGGAAAAGAAGCCGAGCCAGAGAAGGGTTTGGTGGGCTGCAAGGAGACGCGTCCGGGTGGGACGGCATCCTGGGGGTGGGGGGCCCAGGGGGTGGGTCCTTCCTCAGGAGTCATTGGCAGAGAACCTGGGGAGAGAGAAAAGCCAGGAGGGGAAGATTCCGTCAGGGCATCACAGCTACGTGTGTGTGTGTGTGTGTGTGTCTTCCGCGAATACAGGCAGCCCTCGACTTACGTCTGCTTAGAGACCGTTTGAAGTTACAGCGGCACTGAAAAAAAGGAACTTGTGCAGTGGTGGGTTTCAAAAATTTTGCTACCGGTTCTGTGGGCGTGGCTTGCTTGGTGTGTCATGTGGCTGAGTGGGCGTGGCCAACGTGACATCACTCACGGCCACTCAGTCACATGACCACCTCACCTAGCCACGCCCACAGAAAAAGGTAGGGTTTTTTTGTTTTTTTTTTGAATTTCTACCTATCTACTTATTTTCTGCCCAGGCCTGGCCTAATCTGTCAAAGGCCTCCTCCTGCATGCCGCCCCGCGTCACCCCGTTTCCCCTCCTTCAGCGGCCCCGGCCCTAGTCCCGCTTCCTGGCTTAACAAGTGTGGCAAGGAAGGCTGATAAAACGGGACAAAACAGCTCTTCTTGCTTAGGAAGGGAAATCTGGGGCTCAATTCTGGTCGTAACCCAAATAATCATCCCAGATCTTACTTCTGAAATTTCTCCATCAGCTTCTTGACCATCTTGTCGGTGATCCCGGGGCTGGCGGCTTCTGCCAGGCTGATGCTCTTCTCCAGCTCTTCGATGGCCTGCCTCTTGTTGGCGTTGTTGGAGTCTTGCTGCTTCAGCTGAGCAGGGGGCAGAGAGAGCAGGGTGAGGGTGAGGGGCTTCGGCGGCAGCCGTGCAGGGCCCAAAAGGGGGGGGGGTCAAGAGACTCACCTCTGCAAACACGGGATTGATGATCAGGCTTAAACAGCCCAAGGTTTTCAGGAGATCTTGGTCCTAGAGAGTTAGAAGGGACGTTTTCAGACGCAGCATTTCAAGCGCCCTGAAATCTTGAGAAAGCTTAAGTCCGAAGCATCGCACGCCACGTCTATCCAGCTGGCAATTCCAGGTGGGAAAGCAGGCAAGTCAGGCCTGTTCAATTGGGAGATGTCTTGCCCACAAACGACTGGCAAAGTGACCTCTTAATTTGGGTATCTCTTAATGGGAACGGTGGCACCGTTTTAAAGATTTTTAACCTCACACCCTGGACGTAAACTCTCAACTCCTGCCCTCAAAACGATGCTATAGAGCACTGCACACCAGAACAAGTAGACACAAGGACAGTTTACAGTGCCATCACTCTGCTAAACAAATAATTCCCTCAACACTGTCAAACTATTCAATAAGTCTGCATTACTATTAATCTTCTCATTGTTCCTATCACCCATCTCCTCCCACTTATGACTGTATGACTGTAATTTTGTTGCTTGTATCATTACGATTTATATTGATATTGTTTCCTGATTGCTTATTTTACCCTATGACTATCATTAAGTGTTTACCTTATGATTCTTGATGAGCATATCTTTTCTTTTATGTAGACCGAGAACAGATGCACCAAGACAAATTCCTTGTGTGTCCAATCACACTTGGACAATAAAGAATTGAATTGAATTGAATTGAATTGAATTGAATTGAATTGAATTGAATTGAATTGAATTCTACTCTACTCTACTCTACTCTACTCTACTCTACTCTACTCTACTCTACTCTACTCTACTCTACTCTATTCTATTCTATTCTATTCTATTCTATTCTATTCTGACCCGGGGTACGAATAACCTGGAGATGTATAACTGCAATAAATAAACCTTCTCAGAGGCTCCTTCTCTCATCTAATAAAAGCCAAAGAAATCCCTTTTGAAGAAGTGATAAATATGCTGGCTGAACCTACTGTTCCGTTCTGCACTTTCTTGGCGTCCGGCTTTTTCCGCACGGTAGTGAAACTCCACTCGGGGTGGGAATTGTTCTCCTTGTTGCTCGACTCGCTAAGAGGCCAGAGGGAGCAAAAGGCAAAATCAATCAATCAGAGAACCAGGCTAGGTGGGCTTTTTAAAAACTTTCCCAGGGGGGCTCAGGCCCTCCTGATGTGGACCGCCTTGGTGCATGGAGAGCCAGCTGGTCCTTTGGCCCTCGCGGCCCCCCCTCCCCGCCATCCAGACTCACGAATCCGAGCCGTCCGAGTCCGTTTCGTCGCTGCTGTGTCCTTCTGCTTTCCATCTCTTGAACCTGTCAATCAGCTCCGTCAGGTAGGAGGTCTTCTTGGCGTTCTTCAGGATGAATTTGTGCTTCAGCAGCTCCTTGGCCGTGGGACGCTGCGAAAGATAGGAAGCGTCGATTTGTTTTCCAGCAGAGCCTCAAAGCACTGGAGGTGGACGAGGAGGCAGGAGATCGGAAGGATGGCCTCCTGCCACTGAGACCTGCTTACCAAATTCTCACACCCGACCACCGTGGGAGGAAAGCGCAGGGGTGGGAAAAGGCCTTCCTCTGGAGAAGAGCTCCTCCAGAACCCATTCTAGACAGAGTCTCTTGGAGAGCCTTCGAGTTGGGTCTACAACTTGCCATGGCCAACTCATCGTGGCCAACTTGCTGCGGAACAAGAGTTACACTAATATCAAAGGAACAGTGGAATAGAATTGTTCAAGAAAGGATGCCAAAGGAGGGACAAAATAAAAGGTGGATGACAAAAGTTAAAATAATGTTTTAATTATTTAAAATAATTAAATTGAATTGTTGCATTGCTCTGCAGCGAGTTGGCCCTTGGCGAGTTGGCTGTGGCGAACTGTCCCACTCCACTTCTCGTTGACTCCTGATCTTGTAAGCCCACCTCGCTTTTCTTGCTGCTGTTTATTATTAATTTATTTTTTATTCTGTGAAATTCGTTCAGCATCCCAATCAACATTAAAAAATTAAACATTGATGCTAACCACCATCCCGGAAGCTCAGATCCCAACAGTGAACCCGTAGGATGCCTTGAGATCTAAACAAATCTACTCTTCGTGCACTCCAGAGCAATGACCCAAACTTTCATTGGCCTGAACAGTAAATTCGCCAACAGCAACGATTAGACTAAACGTTTTAATGTTCTTTCACCGGCATTCAGGGGTCAACAGATGTTTTCTAGGGATCTGCAACAGCTGCCCGCCTCCATTAACTTCAGAGTGAGATGCAAGCCCAACCAACTCACTACAAAACTTTTATTGCACGTCTCATCTAGAATCTGACTCAAAATTAAACTTCACTCATTCATCTGATTCATTCTTCGGCATGCTCCAAACATCCTCTGTGGTTTGAAACATCCTAGGCCAAGCCACAAAACAACCAAATTATCCTGCTGCGATTTGGGTGCAGAGAAGACGACGGCGGCCTTCAAAATCCCGATGACGCATCGTGATACATTTAGCCAAAAGTGTTGGGGTTTTTTTTTAGACGCTTCCCCACAAGATGGACCTCCCTCCAGATGCAAGGGACGGGAACAGCCCAAAACACACTCACAAACGTCGGGTCCTTGTTCAGACAGGCGTCGATAAATTCTTTGAAGGGTTTGCTGAATTCTCCGGCGAGGGTGGGGGGGTTGTTTTTAGGGATGAGGAAGAGCACCCGCATCGGGTGCATGTCTGAATTCGGAGGCTCCCCTTTGGCTAGTTCGATGGCGGTGATCCCAAGAGACCAGATATCAGCCTGCAGAGAAGAGAACCTGGCTGGCTATTTTGAACGAGGTCAAGAACGACCCCCCACCCCCACCCCCTGCACAAACTGTGGGTTTTAACCTGAATTGCGTGATGAGGGTCGATGCTCTTCCGGGTTTCGGGAGCATCTTTAAACTACGTGTGACGTGCAAACGCCCTTCCAATTTTATACCCTGGGCAGTCAGGCTTATGATAAACTGTGGAAACGTTTGCTCCTGGGGAAGGACGAACCGAGTTGACGGGTGCGGGGAGTTTATGTGAAACTGAGATCAACAGGAAGCCTGGAAAATCGGCTATCAAGTTCAAAGCACGCTTATGTTGTTGCAACTATTATGGCTTTTCAGCATGCCAAAGGCTCAGAGGGGGAGGGGAAAGGCGGATGTGGAATGTAGGCTCCAGACATCGAGAAGATGAGCCATGAGAGCCAAGGACACTTCAGCAGGTGTTTGCCAAACTCAAAAGACTTTTTCTCATAACAATACAATGACGTTCAATAATATCCATAATGTGACCTGCATTAATAGGGGGAAGGTCAATCCTGCACTTTAATTATGTGGGTTTGCGCGGAAATTAGCTAGATCTGGTTTTGCCCTCATCGGTGCCGAAATGATCGACTCAATTAAGTTTTGCATTCAGAGATTGGATCCTCTCGGCCGTGCCTGCTTTGCTTGGGTTTGTCAGTCAGAATGCTGATCTGGGCTACGGAGGAATGGCTCACTCACTACATGGGGAGAATTTCTCTGTGTTTAAGCCAGCAGACCATCCTCTGGGCTACAGACCGGATTGTCTTTTCTGGAGAAGAGCCAAGAGTTTTTTCATCTAAAAGCTTTAAGGCGTGAAAGGCCAAAAAAAAGAAAGGCTGAATCTCCCTGAATGTGAGACAAAAGTCAGAAGATGAAACAGGCATCCAAGCTTCCTTGGCCCTGGATATCATCACCCTGTTATTCAGTCCCATTAACGGTTTATCTATTATTTGTATCTTAACCCTAATTTCTGCCCTTCTCACCCCGATCATTAGGACTGGTAATTTCCTCTCGAAGCTGTATTTAAAAATACACAATGAGCTACGATTCTGGATTATAACCAGCTGTTCCAACATTGAAGCGGCCCTGCAAGGCCTCCTCAGGATCTTACTTTTGAGTCATAGGCCGACTGCTGAATGACTTCGGGGGCCATCCAGAAAGGCGTCCCTACGAAGGTGTTCCTCTTAATTTGAGTATCGGTCAGTTGTCCAGCAACCCCAAAATCCGCAAGCTTCACATCTCCTTGTTCAGACAGCAACACGTTGGCAGCTGGTCGGGAGGAAAAGAGAACAAAGGAAGACCTCATTTAACAAGGGAAGAAACTTGCGGTCCGAAAGAGACAACTTCCCTCTCTCTCTTTACACACCTTTGATGTCTCTGTGGATTTTCTTCTCTGAATGCAGGTAGTCCAACCCTTTCAGGATCTCCTTCAGCATCGTAGCGATCTGGAACTCATCGAAGGGGCCAGCACGGAGCTCGAGAGGAAATAACCAGAGTTTATAAGCTTTAACGAAACATCAACTCGTGTGGATTCCGAAATACCGGTTTTCTTTTCTTTTTAAAGGGTCTTAGCGCAATAGAGAGATCCAAGCTTTATTTCCATCTCGCCATAAATGGCTCTTCCAACAAAAATTCTAAGTAACTAAACTAAAGATACCGGGAAAGAGAGTTAGGCCATTATCAAAAATAAATCTGGATGCTGTGAACATGTTAATTCTCCTTGACTCGTATCTCCTTCTTCATCTCTTACTTCGTTAACTAAGAAAACCTCTGAGCTTGTCGAGATCAGAGGAAGCACCTACCGTATTTTTTGGAGTATAAGACGCTCCGGACTATAAGACGCACCTATCTTTTGTTGGTGAGGAAAACAGGAAAAAGAAATCTGCCTCTGCCTCCCAACAATTTTGCCTCATTGCAGCAAGCAGCAGAGGCCCGGGAGGCCTATTCACCAGATAATCAATTTGTGCTAATTAGGTTGTGCTGAAGCTGAAACGGGCTGTTTCTTCTTGCTGCTTGCCGCAAGGAGGTAAATTGCTGAGAGGCAGAGGCCAAAGGGTGGGTGGGCAGGGCTACATTCGGTGTATAAGACGCACCTAAATTTTCACCCCCTTTTAAGGGGGGAAAAAGGTGCATCTTATACTCCGAAAAATACGGTATGTGTGGATAACTCAACACACTATTGGTGTGCAAGGCTTGGGAGCCAGCAATCTTTGATCAGACTTCAAGATGAGAATCTGTTGCCTACAAGCACCACTTCCGTTCCCAGGTGAACTTCTCATGGCAATCCCATCATCATGGGAATCCCATAGCAATCCCATGGAAGGCCATCGGAAGCTCCAGAAACAGCAAAATCCACTGAGAGACATTCTCAGAATTCAGGGGACTACACTACGATGCCTGCCAGATCTTACCCATAGAAGAAACAATTCCTGGATGTTACAGATAAGACTACCTTCTGCTCTCTTGTCATCAGTTCCTCTAGCCCAGGGCTCTCCAAACTTTACAACTTTAAGACTTGTGGACTTCTAGAATTTCTCAACCAGCCCTTGACTTCAGCTGAGAGATGTGGACTTCAACTCCCAGATTTCTACCTGCTGATTCAGTTCTACAGAGGAATGATTGAGTCTGTCATCTGCACCTCCATAACTGTCTGGTTTGGCTCTGCAACCCAACAAGACAGACACAGACTTCAGAGGATCAGAAAAACATCAGAGGATCAGAAAAACCATGGCTACCAACCTGCCTTCCATGGAGGACCTGTATTCTGCACGAGTCAAAAAGAGGGCTGGGAAAATATCCACAGACCCTTCGCATCCTGGACATCAACTGTTTCAACTCCTACCCTCAAAACGAGGCTATAGAGCACTGCACACCAATACAACTAGACACAAGGACAGTTTTTTCCCCAACGCCATCACTCTGCTAAACAAATAATTCCCTCAACACTGTCAAACTATTCAATAAGTCTGCATTACTATTAATCTACTCATCCTTCCCATCACCCATCTCCTCCCACTTATGACTGGATGACTGTAATCTTGTTGCTTGTATCCCTACGATTTATATTGATTGTTTTCCTAGTATGATTTGATTCCTTATTTGTACCCTATGACTATCATTAAGTGTTGTACCTTATGATTCTTGATGAACGTATCTTTTATGTACACTGAGAGCATATGCACCAAGACAAATTCCTTGTGGGTCCAATCACACTTGCCCAATAAAACATTCTCTTCTCTTCTCTTCTATTCTGGCTGAGGAATCCTGGGAATTGAAGTCCACAAGTCTTAAAAGTTGCCAAGCTTGGAGACTCCTGCTAGCCCCAATGTTTCTCAACCCCGAGGACTTCAACTCCCAGAATTGCCTAGCCGGCACGGAGAATTCTGGGAGCTGAATTCCACATCTCTTAAAGTAGCCGAGAAACGCTTTTTTCTAGTCAAAGGGAGCCGGCCTCTGTTTTCCTGGGTGACAACTGAGAGCCATCCAAGGCTGAACGGAGTTGCACCAGCAAAGCTAAACTTAAGCAGATGCGGACGTTCTTAGGGGACAAAAGCAGGCTTCAAACCCCACGGGTGACATTTCTGGGCGGCCTAGGCGTAAATACTGTGGCAGAATTATCTTGGAGGAAAAGGGTGGGTCTCCCGGAGAGGCCTGTGGTCAAGCTGGCCTGGGGGGATAAGGGAAAACCAGACATCACCCTCCAGCCGGGCCCTCTGCTTTCTCAGCCCCTCCTAAGCTGCAGCCACCATGAAGGCTGCCTCTGTCATAAGCAATAGGCCCTTTCAGGCTTTAAATTTACAGGAACTCAAAAATGGAAACGCCAGCTCAGTTTTAGCCCTCAGTGTTAGCTGTGTTTGCTCCCACAGCGGCAAACTCTCTGGATCTCCTTCCAACAGAAACATCTCTGTGTGTTAAAGAAAAAAAAACACTCCACCTTTCTATTTATTAACTGCAACGGATCGTTTTTCATTAACTGCAAGGTTTCCTTTTGCTAAAAAATAAAAAAGTCAAGCAACATGCTCTTTCTTTTAACAGAAGTTTCTTCACGGCCTGAGCCGGAGGGACCGTAAGGTAACCCTCTTCCTCTGCCACTGAAGTCCCTGTGTCAACCGGAGGCTCCTGCAGGAAAATCTGCACCAAGAGAAAGCATTTTTCAGTCCCTGCCCAAGGACTGAGTCACGAAGGCAGATCAGGCGAGTTTCACACCCTCTTGGGGCCTCGGTGGCAGAGAAGAAAGGACACCGGTATTTGCTTGTGCAAGAGGCCACCCTTTCTTGCCCCTGGGCCTTTGTGATGGACCTCAACCGGTACAAGGTCTCTCCCTGGAGGTACTGCAATCTGAAGGAAGTGGCACAAGACCGCAGAGAGTCACGGGCTGTTAAGATCCACCTGAGTTTTCAAAAACATCAGGGGTTTCCAAAATGCAAACTTTGGGACCACGTGCAAGTAATCAGGTGTCTCTTTTAGTGCTGCGCACATCTGGAAGAATGAATGACCTCTTCGCTCAAACATGGATTGTATTTAGAGTCCCTGACTAGCCATTCCAGAATCATGAAATGGCAACGTCCATTTCAACAGCTTACAGTACAGATCAACGAAGGTCATAAAGTAACTGACATACTTACCAAATCCAGGGCCGATCCCCCACCTAAATATTCCATTATTATCCACAACTTTGTGCCCTGAAAGGGAAAGCAGGTAAAAAGTTAGCTTTTTTTCCCCTCCTGATTTCTCTGGATAGGGAAAAGGGGGCAGGAATCATGTGGGGTTTTTTTGGAGGGGAGGCTATAATTGTAATATATCTGGAAATAGCACTAAGCTGGGGAAGAACGGGACGAAAGATCCACTGCGACCACAAAAAGAACAAACTAAATTTGGGGTCTTCTCTGTGCTTGGTTGTCTGAGTTTGCAGACATTTCGTTACCCAACTAGGTAACCTCATCAGTGCCAGTGGGCGAGGAAGCACACAAAAGTCTGGCAGGGCAAGCGACTGTATATAAACAGAGAGTAAGTAAACCTTGCATTCTCTCCCACTGGTGATGTTAACCTTGCTTTGGTCACGAAATGTCTGCAAGCAACAACCAGGAGAGTAACAGAGTTGGATGGGACCTTGATGGGACCAGGAGATTTGAGACATGTGGTTGCCCTAATCTCTTCTTACAAACCTCCAGGGATGAAGCACCCACAATTTCTGGAGGGAAGCCGTTTCACTGGTGAATTGAGACCAGGTTGTTGTTGTTGTCAGTTGCAAAGTCGTGTCCAACCCATCACAACTCCATGGACAACGTTCCTCCAGGCCTTCCTGTCCTCTACCATCCTCTGGAGTCCATTTAAGCTCACTCCGACTGCTTCAGTGACTCCATCCAGCCACCTCGTTCTCTGCCATCCCCTTCTTCTTTTGCCCTCAATCTTTCCCAGCATTGGGCTCTTCCCCAGGGAGTCCTTCCTTCTCCTTAGGTGGCCAAAGGATTTGAGTTTCATCTTCAGGATCTGGCCTTCTAAAGAGCAGTCAGGGTTGATCTCCTCTAGGACTGACCGGTTGGATCGCCTTGCAGTCCAAGGGACTCACAGGAGTCTTCTCCAGCACCAGAGTTCAAAGGCCTCCATTCTTTGGCCTTCTCAGCCTTCCTTATGGTCCAACTTTCACAGCCACCCATTGCAAGACCAGGTTTCTGTGCCACAATTGCCTGCCAGCTAAAATAGGATTGGGCTCCTGCTTGGGGCCATTTCACCAAGACCAAAGAGCCGTTTATTCGCATGTTAAGTTTTGCTGCCCCAGCTTTTGTTCTCACCACTCCTGTTAATACTTTAAATGCCAGTTACAAGTCCTCAGCTGCCACTTTTAGAAAGCGGTGGGGAATTTGTAGTGGGGAGTTTTTACGGGTTGTATCGTGTGATTTTATAAATTACACCGGGTGTTTTCAGAAGAACCGCACGAAGTAACCGGCACGGTAATTTTCGAGCCCTCTGTCATTTGAAGGAAACCTTTGTGTACATTCCGGAGAGTTGCTCTGTGACTGGTGGTTATCTGTAGTAAAAAGGGACTTTCGTCCTTCCAAACAATGCTGCGATCCCAAGAGTTTCACCACTTTGAGGATTTACCGTACATCAGCAGCCAACCAGGGTATTTTTAGCTGGGAACCTATCAGCCTCCCACTTTCCAATTAGAGATGAGTTTCAGAAAAGGGAACTCCAGTCTTAAGCTAAAAATCGGTCCAAACCTCTGGGTAAACAGTCCACGTATGGGGGCTGCTACTCTCGCCCTCGTCAAGAGGCTGCCAATCAAGGCTTACGTGCGACGTGCAAAAACAAAAAATACGTGCGGGGAGTTTATGTGAAACTGAGATCAACAGGAAGCCTGGAAAATCAGCTATCAAGTTCGAAGCACGCTTACGTTGTTGCAACTATTAATGCTTCTCAGCTTGCAGGGGGGAGGGAAGGGGGAGGTGGAATGTAGGCTCCAGACATCGAGAAGATGAGCCATGAGAGCCAAGGACACTTCAGCAGGTGTTTGCCAAACTCAAGAGACTTTTTCTCATAACAATACGACGACGTTCAATTGGACAACGTGACCTGCACTAATAGGGGGGAGGTGAATCCTGCACTTTAATTATGTGGGTTTGCATGGAAATTAGCTAGATCTGGTTTTGCCCTCATCGGTGCCGAAATGATGGACTCCATGAAGTTTTGCACTTGGAGATTGGATGCTCTCGACTGTGCCTGCTTTGCTTGGGTTCGTCAGTCAGAATGCTGACCTGGGCTACGGAGGAATGGCTCACTCACTACATGGGGAGAACAGAGGTGGGGAATTATGGCCCCTTTATGGCTTGTGGACTTCAACTCCCAGGATTCCTGAGCCAAGCCTCATGCTGGCTCAGGAATCCTGGGAGTTGAAGTCCACAAGTCTTAAAGTTGCCAAGGTTGGAGACCCCTGCCCTAGTGACAAGACGTTCTCCCCTTCCCCTCATTAACAGAAAGTCTCCATCCCCTTCCTTTGTACCGTTTGCTCCCTGAAGCCAACAAGTAATGCCAATTGGAAGATTTGGGGCAACTTTCCACCCAGGGCCTCCGTTACGGACAAGTTTTAACCCAACAGCATTTTCCTCCAGATGGATCGAAAACCAGGCGCGAGGCCTGTCGTGGCAGATGGAAGAGCAGCTCCTGAACAGAGCTCGCTTTGTTAGGCCAACACACACACGGCATTTACTCTTGGGAACGGAGAAGTCAGGTATTTGGGCTGCTACTTTTAGCGCCTTCCCATAACCCCTCCTCTGGGCCAGCAGGGAAAACTGGGAACAAACGCAGGTCCTTTTACACGGCTGTGGTTTCACAGACGCCTTTGGATGACTTAAAACGCCCTGCAGTGAAAATATCTCTGAGGATTTGCCAGAATAAACCGTAGCTGGGTGTGGTTCTTTTGCCCCTCGGCATCCAAGGAGCCGCTCGGCTAACCGTTACAGGCCAAGGACGTCTAACGCAGGTACGCAGAAGCGAGGACATTGCTTAGTCTTTGGAGGAGCAGAGGTGTGCTAGTCTGTGGTTTATTCAGAAGCCTCTGAACCATGTTAGTTAGTCAGAAAAGGTGAAAAAGCGGCTCCCCCTCCTGACTTTTTTTCTCTCACAGTCTTGAATCCACAGCAGAATTCAGATGCGATTCTGATTATGCTTTGGGGATTATGACACAACTTGGGCGTTAAAGAAAAACTCTTTGTATAAAAAAAAAGGTTGAGACTCTAGAAAGAGTGCAGAGAAGAGCAACCAGGATGATGAGGGGACTGGGGGTTAAAATATACAATGAACAGTTGCAGGAACTGGGCATGGCTGGTCTAGTGAAGAGAAGGACCAGGGGAGTGTTGTGGTCCACCAGCAGCCTGCGGAGCTGGCAGCGGAGTCGGAGACAGTGAGGAGTCTGGGGAGGAACATGGGCCAGTCCTGGAGTCAGGGGAAGGCCCGGACGAGGGCTCTGCATCGGAGGCAGAGATGGGGCCAGGGCCATCTGGGAGCGGTGAGCGGACTCCGGAGCCTCCAGAGTCGGACATCAGAGAGGCAGAGGAACAGGAGGAGCCTGTTCTTAGTGTGCGCATGTGCAAAGCTGCCAGAAGGCAAGAACAGTTAAAACAAAAGGGACAACTCGGGAGTAAGGCCTGGAGATGAAAGGCACGTGGGCTCTTTGCAGGAAAGCAACGTTAATTCTATTCCCAGTTGGCATCTCTGTTTGATTCTGGACTCCGTGTGGCTTTGTCTTTGGCAGCGTGTCAAGGGAGATAAAGGTTGGTGATTATCCCAAAGGACTTTTTGCAACTAATTGGGACTCAGCTGTGAATGAACGTAATTCACAGCTGTTGCAATAGAAGAGGTTTTTGGGACTACTCGTGTGTTTTAATGACTCATGAAGCCTAGGTCGCAATAGGGAGACATGATAGCAGTCTTCAATATTTGAGGGGCTGCCACAGAGAGGAGGGGGTCAAACTATTTTCCAAAGCATCTGAGAGCCAAACAAGGAATAAATGGATGGAAACTGACCAAGGAGAGATTCAACCTGGAAATAAAGAGGAATTGTCTGACAGCGAGAGCAATCAACCCATGGAACAGAAGTTGCCTTTGGAAGTTGTGGGAGCTTCATCACTGGAGGCTTTCAAGAAGAGACTGGACTGCCATTTGTCAGAAATGGTGTAGGGTCTCCTGCTTGGGTGGGGGGTTGGACTAGATGACCTACAAGGTCCCTTCCAACTCTGTTAATCTGTTAGAATTAAAATCCTACGGAATCTGGACACTGTGACAGTCTAGACTAGATGTTCACAGATAAACTGTTCCATACAGGGAAGGGCTGACGCTGGATGGGTCGCCTCTGAACTGAACCTGAAGCCTGTTTTGGCCATAACTGGCATGAAACAGGGTGAGTCGATTTCAGATGCAGACAGAAAATGTTGGCTGCCCCTTCGAGTTCGAAGGTAAAGCATTCGGGCTCCCTCCAAACCCAGCCAAGAAAAGGTAAACAGGGCGCACCATGTCCCACCCTCTCCGTGGCTCCTGGACACCCCAACTCGGTCCCACCCTGCAGAACCACCCACGTCCCAACAGAGCCCGGAGCGAAAGTCTCTCTTACCTTCAAGTAGGAGCCGTAGTACTTGGTGACATAAGGACTGTCACACTGGCTGAGCACCGTGATCTCCTGCTGGATGTCCTCAATTTCATCCTCGGCTTCTTCCAGGTCGATGATTTTAATGGCCACCACGTGCTGCGTCCGGTTATCGATGCCCTTAAAGACTTCTCCGAAGGAGCCCTTCCCGATGCGCTCCAGCTTGGTGAAAAGGCCCTCGGGGTCTGCTCGGTGGTTCTGCAGGGGAGCCAAGAGGAGGCACCAGGGGTGAAATCCAGCAGGTTGTGGAGAGCGGAAATTTTGAGTAGTTCGGAGAACCAGCAAATACCACCTCTGGCTGGTCCCAGAGTGGGGTGGGAATGGGGATTTTGCAGTACCCTTTCCCCAGGAGTGGGGAGGGAATGGGGATTTTGCAGTATCCTTCCCCTGCCACGCCCACCAAGCCACGCCCACAGAACCAGTAGTAAAAAAAAATTGAATTCCACTATTGGGAGGCACCGACATTTCAAGGCACCTTGGGACTTTGAGCTCGGCTGAAGATTTCAACTGTGGGGTCGCCAGAAATAAATGGGGGTCTCTTCCTGAAAACCTGCACGGGAACTACTCCTAATCCTGGGACAATTGTGTGCACAATCTCAGAAGCTACACCCAAGTGTGCAACTGCACTTTTTTTTTTTTAAAGACGTACATCTTTATTTACTCCTTAGAGTGGTGCAGTGGCCTAGAGATGTAGAGCTCTCGCCGTACAATCAGGAGGCGAGAGCTCAGTCAGTTCGATCCTAGGTAGAGGCAGATATTTCTCTCTCTGGGCACAATGAGAATGTATCTGCCGAACAAAACTCCGCAATGGCAACAGGGAAGGGCATCCGGCCATTAAAATACTCTGCTAGCTCCATTCAGTTGCCCAGACTCCACCCCGCAAAGGGATTACGGGATCGTTAAAAGGAGATGGTGACTTTTATTTAGTCCTTGGAAGTTTGGAAGACAGACATACCCTGGGGTGGGGGAGAAGAGGTGAGACTTCCAGAAAGCGGTAAGAAATGCTTTCGTTTTCTTTTGAAGTGTCACCACGCACATTCCTCTTTTAATTGGCTCCCTCTAATTAGCCACAGAGGCGATGGAAAGAGCTGGATCCTGGCCACAGCCTGGCGGACTCCTCCTGCCTACGGCAACCCTGGTTCCACCTGGCTTTTTTTTAACATTCAGAAAGCATCTGGTAATGAACCAAAGCAAAGCAAAGCACTGCCAGGCGCAAAGGACCTGTGGGATAGGTAGTCCTCCACTTACAACAGTTCATTTAGTGACTGTTTGAAATTACAACAGCACCGGAAAAAGTGACTTATGAACGTTTTTCCACGCTTAACGACTGTTGCAGCATCCCCCGCGGTCACTAGATCAAAATCCAGACTCTTGGGAACCGACTCGTATTTATGACGTGTCCCAGAGTCATGCGATCCCCTTTGACGACCTCCTGAAAAGAAAAGTCAATGGGGAAACGAGGTTCGGTTAACCACCATGCGACTAACTTGGTGAAGTGAGTCACTTGCCAACTGTGGCAAGAAAGGTCATAAGATGGGGCAAAACTCACTTAATAAATGGCTCACTTAGCAACAGAAATCTTGGGCTCAATTGTGGTTGTAAATCGAGGACAACCTGTATATAGATGATTTATTCAAGTCTGCATAGAAGAATGTGGCTGAGTAAAAAGTTCAGCACTAAACTGGCACCAGGGAAGGCTCAACGGGATTTTTGGACTTGAAGCGCTTGTGGGAATGCAACAATTCTAAACCTAGGACACGCTTAACTTCGCCCTCCTTAGCTCTGCCTACTCTTCTACATCACTGGCCTTTGCCGACAGCTCCATTTCCAAGAATGCCTCAGAATAAAAATGGTAGATGGTGGCAAATTAAGATTGGCTTGTCCGGGAAAACGACAAAAGAAAGCAAGGGTCTTGAGAAGGACTTCAAGGCCGACGATCTAGGGATGCCGAGTTGGGGACTCAGTCCGGGGTCACGTTTCAAGTCATGGAAAAAGAGGACTAGGCCAGAATGGCCCACCAGGGAGTCCAGATGAATTCAGGGGCTGCAAGTTAGTGAAACCTGCTCCCAGTAAATTGTTGTTTGAGTCTAAGGCAGAGCACCCCAACCTTGGCAACTTTATGACTTGGGGAATTCTGGGAGTGGAAGTCCACAAGTCTTAAAAGTTGCCAAGATTGGAGACTCCTGTTCCAAGGTACTAGCCAGGGTCCGTGAGGGTTGTTGGTCTACTCTATCCAGCTCTGTTCTGGCTGAAGAACGGGGCTCTCCCGCTGATCCCGCAGTGTCTTCAGAAGATGGGCCTTGATGTTCTGCAGCTCAGGGCTTCTGCAAAGCCTCTGGGATCCCAGCCTTGCCGAAAAGAGCTTCTTTCCCACAACACGCTCTAAATTGTCCTTTTCGTGCAGGGTTGTGCAACGTTTCCCGCTTGCTTAATTGTTTCTCTTTAGAAACCAGCTGATAATTACCCAGACGGCGGCCTTCCTTTCTCACTGGAAAAGCTCAATCCCCTGATGGAAATTTCCATTCCTACATCTCGGGCTTTGGTCCGACACAACTGGCCAAGGCTACTCAGTGTACACAAACAAGCTTCTTTCTTTCTTTCTTTCTTTCTTTCTTTCTTTCTTTCTTTCTTTCTTTCTTTCTTTCTTTCTTTTTCTTTCTTTCTTTCTTTCTTTCTTTCTTTCTTTCTTTCTTTCTACCTTCCTTCCTTCCTTCCTTCCTTCCTTCCTTCCTTCCTTCCTTCCTTCCTTCCTTCCTTCCTTCTTCTTCTTTCTTTCTTTCTTTCTTTCTTTCTTTCTTTCTTTCTTCTTTCTTTCGCAAGTCAGGAGTGTCAATGTCCTGGGTTCCAGGCATTTGGAAGTCAAGCAGGAATTTCCAGAACTCGATGTATTTTTAGAACAGCCGCCCCTGAAAATCCTGTTTAAAAGCGCAACAGCAGCTCTATGCAAAGATCGCTCCAGTTGAAAGAAACATAAGCACATGAACTAATCCAGTATTCAGACCAGACCGGATCTTGGAAGCATTTACAAGCCACATTTGCATTCTTAAAGCTCTCCCAAGGCCCTGGGGACTCCGAGGAAACTGAGCGAGAAAGCAAGAGGACTGAGGGTGCTCTTATTCTACAACAGGGTGCCCAATCTTGGCAACTTTAAGACTCCCAGAATGCCCCAGCCAGACATGAATAATAGAGTTGGACGGGACCAAAAGGGTCACCATTGTTTCTCAACCAAGCCAACTTTAAGACTTATGGATTTCAACTCCTAGAATTCCCCAGCCAATCATGAATGATAGAGTTGGAAGGAACCAGAAGGCTCAACACTATTTCTCAACCTACCTTAAGACTTATGGACTTCAACTCCCAGAATGCCCCAGCCAGACATGAATGATAGAGTTGGAAGGGACCAGAAGGCTCAACACTATTTCTCAACCTACTTTAAGACTTGTGGACTTCAACTCCCAGAATGCCCCAGCCAGACATGAATGATAGAGTTGGAAGGGACCAGAAGGCTCAACACTGTTTCTCAACCTTGGCAACTTTAAGACTTATGGACTCTGACTCCCAGACTTCCCCAGCCAGCCAGTCAGCCAAGATGTATCATCTACCATACTACACCCATGACGTCTGAATTGAGAGTATGGTTCTTGCAATGTACGGATCACCCCATACGATGAACCAGTTTTTGCCAAACCTTAGGTTAGCCTTCTTTAGCATAATGTGTGAACCAGATCTTGAACGATTTCCTTAAGTCGCATCCACTTGTTGAAAGCTCCCTGGTTTTTTAAAAAACAAACAAACCCAGAAGTCTCGCATGTACACAAGTTCTTCCTCTGTTTTGGTCCTCAAAACAGAAAGCTTATTAGCCGTAACTGCGCAGCCTACACAACATGAAGTTGCGCTCCGAAACTGAACATGCTAACAAGTCCCAGGATTACATAACAGCCACCCATCAAACTAACCTCAGTTAGTTTGCTGGATGGCTGCTTCAGAAGGCCAAACCGGAGCACAGAGCTTCTTTTCAGAGAGGGCTGCTTGAGAACAAGGCTTTGTGTTTTCCAAGCTGTCTTTTGTGAAAGCACACTTTACGCAAGAGTGTTTCATCCTCCCCGTTACAAATGCAAGAGTAATCTGGGACTCAAGAGGGAGAGTGCCTCTTTTCCTGACGAAGCTTGATCAAGATGACAACAAAGCAAGCGCAACAAGAATAATCTTGTTCTTGTGAAATGCACGACAAATTGTTGCCCTTCGTTAAAGCAGCGCCCAGAGGCTGCAGGCTTAGATCAATAGGGATCTCTCAGCTTAGATCAATAGGGATCTCTCAGCCGGTTAAGATTCTTCACAAACTGTTAAGGGCTATTGTTAATGGATTTTAGTGGGATCCAGTTCTGAGGAAGCATTTGGGTTAAGAGAAGATCAGAAAACATCCCGGCCGTGATTTTCTATGATTTCACCACTTGTAAGATGGATAGGATCATCAATGTTATTTCTGTTACTTTTCGAATCTACAAAAATGGAGACAGAGACACTGAAAGTTGTCCTTAAAGGTAAAGGTTCCCCTCGCACATACGTGCTAGTCGTTCCCGACTCTAGGGGGCGGTGCTCATCTCCGTTTCAAAGCCGAAGAGCCAGCGCTATCCGAAGACGTCTCCGAGGTCATGTGGCCGGCATGACTCAACGCCAAAGGCGCACGGAAAACGCTGTTCCCTTCCCACCAAAGGTGGTCCCTATTTTTCTACTTGCATTTTTTACCTGCTTTCGAACTGCTAGGTTGGTAGAAGCTGGGACAAGTCATGGGAGCTCACCCCGTTACACGGCGCTTGGGATTCGAACCGCTGAACTGCCGACCTTTCGATCGACAAGCTCAGCGTCTTAGCCACTGAGCCACCGCGTCCCTCTAAGTTGTCCTTATTTCATTTTAAATCTCCCCCGTTCCATTTATTTATATGTTTTTAAACTGCCACAAGGACTCCACAAGATTCAGGAGTCATAACTAAGCAGTAATTTCCAACATTATGTCATCGCACGGTAATGCTGAACGTTACACTTTATGTGAACGGTTTATAAGAATTTTCTTTCTTTTTTTAAATGTTCCTGGAGATATATGCCCATGACCAGGCTTTCCAGTTTCTTGATAGCAGCTCAAGAACAGAGTTTGAACACAGCTTTTTAAAATAGCCTATTCTGCAATGCCAAGAGCCGAT